CACATCTACCGGCCCAGCTGTCAATCGCGATTCACTGTGTCAAAGGCCATCTTCAGATCCACGCAAGGTGTGTGGAGTCTGCTCCCTGGGAAGATATGTGTTCCCTATTCGTCTCTCATGTGCTCCATGTTTTCAACCTCATTGTCGTGCTGATCAAGTTCAAAGGATAAATAAACGAGGAGTAAATAAACGGTGATAATTCACGGTGATAAATTAACGGTGATAGTAGCATTATTTCGATAAATTTACTGTGATAAAATCAACGGTGATAAATCAACGGTGACAAATAAACGATGATAGTAGCAATATTTGCTATAGTAAAGCCATACTATGGCGAAGAGAGTGCTAAATTATTTTGGAACCACTCACATGCGGCGAGAACCCCTACGTACTCGAAAACTTGGAAACTGGTTCTGCGGATTTAATATGATTTATGGGCACAAGTAAAAATGGTAATAAATATAAGTACAGTCAGCCTGCATCAAAGCCAATAGTGGAAACCGATAAATCAGGAATGAAAACATAAGGGAATTAATTCGTTATTTTACCTATTTTAGCTTGATATGGGATGAGGGGACTCTGCAAGATTGGCCAGTTTGAGTGAAGTAGCTGAAGAGATTTAAGGGATTAGTCTGCCAATCACGGATATCAGTCACTCAGACCATGACGTGCGACGCAATTGACGGACCACCCGGTTATTGTGCCCGTAATGCATCCCATTCATTTCAACTTCACTTCGCGTAACCTCGAGAAAAAGGAGAGCAATAGATTCACTATTTTAAAGATCAGAAAACGAGGTGGCGAACATACGTAGCTTTAGATAAATTCTCATCGGACCAGTGCAATTATATGAGAACGGGGTAAAAGTAAAAACATGTCAGTGATAGGAGAAATCGATTACAGTTCGCCTTAAAACACATGCGGGGAGTAGGAATGTCGGGGAGGGGGGGGAATAGCAGTCAGTGTCAGGGGCGGGTTGAGAGCGGAGGGGTGCGGGGAGGTGCAGTGTTAGTCGAACTTCAACCACTAAAGGCGCGGAGCCTGAACGTGGTTCTTCTGTGCGCAAAAGATTGGTTTTCGTAGTCTGATGGCGATCGCTTCTGCTTTTGCTAACAGGCACCGGCCCAGTAGTTCAGGCTAGCTCCTTGGAACCTTAAAACGGGTCGGACGTGTGATGTAGAGAGGCCTTTCGGATGGAGGGGAGGGTGTCTGGGTATGTGGGCGCGGAACTCGTACGACAGTCCCACCACCAAAGTAACGACGCTTTCCGTGTAAGATAAAGCCTGACTGGCAAAAGACGGAGATTTCCCCATGAATAAGTTTATAATGAGGCAGCCTTACAAGGCATCTAATGCCTTCCTGCGTCTCACGAACTCCGGCGTAGTGAGAGTGTGTTTGGACGACTTTTTATTTTGTCCTAGTCGAGAAAACCGCACTTACGCTCATTTTGCAATTTGGCTGAGCTTTTTACGTCGTATTAATGAAACTGGTTGGAAGGTAGCTGCACCTGGCCATTATGTCATTGTTTAATGGGCGGTGACTAGAGCTTATCCTGTCTGTCATTCAGTGTAAAGGACAAACGTTTTGGTCTTTTAGCATAGCACTTGCACTTGGTGACTTACCACACTGAAAGGAAACCTAAGTCAATCTCGCGTACTCTGACGGAACTGTCGTTTCACTATTTAGAGCCAGAAAGCGCTGGAAACGAGGCTGTCATAGGGCACCCACTGCCCTCCGTTGACACGGAAAATTGCTCTGATCTCCCTGCTACACACACGTCTGCTGCAAGTTCGACTGACTACCTTCGGGGAGAAGCAGATGGCAGTAAATGGACGTTGGATGATGTGCTGACGCTGCAGTACCTCCAGATTATGATTTTGTCTCATTTCCGCCATCTCCAACAGCGGCTCCGCCATTTTAAATCTGAGGCACCGTTCATTCGTCATCAAGTCGCTGTACATAACCCCCACCCTTCATCTTATCGTCCTCTCTATCCAATCACAGAGGCCCTATGATGTTTTAGAAGCGAGGCTGGTCCCACTGTGTACATCTCCAGTGCTTGACTGTCTTGTGTTATATGGCGAAGTTGCAATACGTCAACTCATCCTCCTCAAAAATTTTCAGTGGCGAAGGATTAGGGAGAGAGGTAGTTTCCCAGAGGAGCGGCTGTAGAAACAACGAAGCTCTCAAGTGTATTTCTGCCTTATGTGCAGGCCTGTACAACACAACCTTGCCCAATGTCTCTGCTCCTCACCTCATCGCCCTCCCCATCCAATTCCGTGATATCAGAATTGTACACACGTAATTATTGTGTTTCGTGGGCTTTGGAGGTCCCGACTCCGCTACTTCCTTTACTCTGCGCAACCAGACCTGCAAACAGTAGGTCCAGACGCGCTCCTCGACGTCATCACCGTCAGCGCGCCGGTCGCCGTACAGGAGCACGCAGTGTGAGCGCGAAATAGGTTGGTGGTGACAGCTGTGCCGATGATGTGAAGACTCGGATTTCAAGCGGATGCGGATTACGTGGTTGCAGATTCTTGCTGTCAATGAAATGTGTGAAGAACTACGGCACGTTCGAGGGTAATCATGACGTCATTGCAGAGAATTCTCCCGGGCTGTGCTATTTGGCCTGTTAATTGAAGCTTCTGGCTTGTGGTGTGTATGAGAGGTCCGGCTCAAATCCTGCAGTGTGACTGTACATCGACAGGACAGTTCTTTTCTTGTCCATTTTGTTACCTCGGCTTCCCTAACCATTCAAGTTTGTGTCTTATCTCTTCCAAGTACCCTACATCCGACATGGCTCTCTAGCAACAGGTGTACGTCTTCTCCGACAGCTTCACTTTGGAGATTTTTGCAGTCAACATAGTGTTCAATTTTTCTCCACAATATCCTTTTTGCCGATGACCGCCAGACGTGAAACAAACATTCACACAAACGCATGAGCTACTAGTAAATTAGTTTATCTAGACGTTTCCAGTTTTAATATAAAGATGGAACGGTTGGCCTTTCCAACGAGCTGCTGGTGGCCATTGTGGAGCTCCTGAAATGCAAATCCGCCCCCAATTTGCGTGATGTGTACTTGCTTTTGAAATCATCGATAAATCTGAGATGCTGAGCATAGCTGTTCTTTCGTTAAAGAATTTCGGCTGACAAAATATTTTAATTGATTTCATGCTTTTCTTGAGGTTTGCTAGAGTTTCGATTCAATGCTTTCAGAATTTCAAAACTTCCTTAGATTTATTCTGTTTCGGTCTGGACGTTTGACGATGATGGTGACAGGGACGCCTACGTTGGGTGTCTGCTAGGGTGTCATCCTGGATTATTTTCTCATAGCTTATGTACTCTTCATCACCGAATGTTTTGGTTTTCCCAGGAAAATTATTGTTTCCTGGGCATCTAAAATCATGTCCCTCTAGTTTCCAAGGTAGTAGGAGAGCAGTGTTCCACCTAAAACGTAAGAGGGCAACTACAGGGAAAATCCTACGGTGGAAGCCATCGCTGAACACAGATGTGTACATAGTCGCATCCAAGTGAGGCTTTCGTCATCTTATTGGCGAGTCCGGTGCATGCACTTAAAGACGCACGAGCATAAGTCAGCCAATCGCAGAAGGGCATGCGTCGTGAATCAAAAGATGAGTGAATAGGGTTGTGGCGGCTGGAGACGTTGAGGCTAACACACACCAGGTAACGTGGAGCACTAGCCATAATCCTTGGCTAATCTTGATCTGAAGAGAGTTGTTAAACGGGTCATCGATTTTATCTAAACCGGCAGTAGGAAAAGTCAAACGGTACGAAATGTATGTACTAGGAAGTGCGGGATTAACCAAATAGAAAATGTTAAATGGCACAAAGGGGGATGAGACTTACAGAAGAAGAGATGATTCGTCTGGATGAGGAGGTGATTCCAACATACCATCTAGACAACCAGTGGGGAATGCGACGCTGTCGGCAAGGGCGGGGTGGAGCCGTGCAAAGTGTCGACGTGAACCGCGAAATACGGAATGGTAACTGCGATAACGGCGGGAAGAGGCTCGTGGCGATGAGTGGACAGAACACTGGTTATTTTCACCGATACCCGGTCACACCATCTCCATCATAGATCCGCGCTCAAAAAGTGTCACCTCATGCGAACAACTCTGAACAGTTCAGGGGCCGTTACAGGGTAAACGAACTGGTAAACATTCATGTCTGTTTGTACGACTTAGCCCCTAGTACGGGTGCCGGGCTCGAATTTCTAGCGGCCCATCGCAGACTTCAAGGTAGGAGGGCAAAAACTGAAGAAGACAGGCCTAAATGACAGAGCTGTCTCAAAGACGAAACAACTGATATGTCAGTTTCTTCTGCAAATATTATCTGCGTGTGTTAGTATCGTTCGCGTGGTCGCCTTGAAGCTCGGCAGGTGGAAACCTCTTCGAGGATCCACCAACTAGTAGAAGCAGCTTACCTGCTCTGGAATGCAGAAGAGACCGGTGTAGGAACAATAAACATATTAATCCGGACTCAGGGAAACTGAATCTCAGTGTAACTTTCTGAAACCAGACGACGAACCACTTAATGACTCACAAATAATATTTCATGTTCAAAATATGAAGAATTCTAAGCAGCAGAAGGACTGTGGATAAATAATAACAGCCCTTGCGACTGTGGTGCAGTTAAAAATGCAATTAAACACTTTTGAGTGATTTCTGACAGCTTGATCAACTTACTAGATACGCATGTTTGTGGGGACTACCGAACTACCCACGTGTCACAACACCGTATTGATCGGGTGGCTATTTGAACTGTAAGCATGCATTCACCAAGACAGCGGACCCTACGCCAGTATTCGTCTCAAGGGCTAAGCGGACATGGCGAAGAGAACATCTAACTGGATTTATCGTTTCTTACTATTGTTTGTCTTCTGGCTGACGAGCGGGATTCGGTTGGGTCCCGCGGACAAGGAGAGAATTCTCCAGCTTCATTTCAATGTCCGTAACAGAGTGAGACCAAAACCGCGTCGAATGAATATCCTTCAGTACTCGGATCAATTAGAAGTGTTTGCTGAGAAGTGGGCTAATCGCTGTGAGTGGGAATTTCCCGATGCTCTCGAACATCCCGATGTCGCTGAATTGGGTATGAATATTGCGGCCATTGGCCGTGAGGATCGTGAGCCCGATTTGCAAGAATTCTTTGAGGTCTGGCTTCGGGAGGCCAGGTTCTACGCCTTCAGGACAAACACCTGCACGGCCTTCTGTCAACACTACACTCAGCTGATATGGGACGACACAGAGGAAGTTGGTTGTGCGTTGCACTTCTGCAATGGAACAACCGATGCCCGTAAGGTATTTGTGTGCTTGTATCGGCCACCGGGCAACTTTGAGGGACAATGGCCTTACGATCCAGCTGGATCCATGGAACTTGGGTCTGATGAGGTAGATGACGGCGAAGAGGAAGGGGATGATGGTAGCCAACAGAATGATGATGATGACGAAGAGGATGAGGATGGCTCGGCTGGAGGCCGGAAGGATGCGGATGACGACAGAAACGAAGACGATGACGATGATGACGCTGAAAATGAAGGGGGAGTACAGGATGACGAAGAAGAGGAAGAAGAGCAAGGAGATGGGAGGAAAAACTCGGGCGCGACTAAAGCCACTTTTCAAACTTATCCTCTACTTTTTTGGAATTTTATTTTTCTGGCTCACTACTAGCACAGGCGACTGATGTCATCTTTGGCTTATCTTGTTCATGAAGTTTTTGAGTCGAAATATTTCTCGTCTTCTTATTTCCCTTTCATGCGCTCCTTTTTTAATATATATGTATACTGGCTGTACCCGGTCACGCGTTGCTGTGACTCAGTTTTATGAGATAGAAAAGAAGGAAAAGAGTAAGAGGCAGGCTTCGAATATGTTTAATTTCATAATGCTTGTGGGTATGTAATATTTTTTTCATTGCACCACCTGTGCAGATATAGAAATTATCTGGTTTGCCGACTCTGGAGCACGCAACATGTAATTGACCATGTAAAAAACAATCCGATTGCAGATCCAAAACGCACAATTCTAAACATTGGCCATGAGTTTTATTAAAGCTGATTGCACACGCCAATCGAATCGGGAATTTCAGTCTCCTACATGGAAATGGCATATCAGTTGGAATCAGTGGAATTCGAGGAATAAGGACATGTTCACCTTTGAAAGATAGGTGCTTCCACAACGTTCCTCATTGATTTTTTTACTGCAAGCCACGTGTCGTTGCAAAGCCTCGGCTGGTTGATATTTCGCAGCAAGATAATCGGCAACACGATTTTCAATTGCAGTACCTACGGCGGCATCCCTGGCAAACCAAGTGAATTCAAAAATTCTGTTGGATAAGCAACTGCCTCGTTTGCTTCCACAACAGTGTCGACTGATGTGGATGTGACTGCCTCTCTTTGAATCCTAGACTGAATAAGATGGCCAAGTTGGCAGGCACCTTTGTTCGTGGCCGCAAGAATAGCTCGTCCGCTAAGCCAATCGTGATTCGTATAATTGGTTTGAATATTGGGGTATACCTTTTCAATCAATACTTCTCTTGACGTCACTGAATTTCCGAAGATGAGAGATAGAGAACTGCGTCCTGAAGTCGGGTCAAACAACACCGTTCCGTTCACAATTTGTGTGGGAGTATCACAGCAGGTCGGTCGGTTTGCAGCTAGACACGCATATTTGTAGGTTATTTTACCGTCTGAACGTGGCGCCACAAAGTACAGTATTTCAGGCAGGTATTTATTTCGTCCGCTGGTGTCGACCTAGGAGTTACAGGCAATGTTAACCTGATGTCTCCTGCAAGCAGTAGTAATGCGTCTCCAAATGGTCTGGTGTTTCCGCGCAAATCTTGTAGTGAACGATCAAGGGTCTCGGGTGTTTTTGCGCGTCATTGTGCTTTCATCCCAAGCAACAGGTTTGCATTTCAGCAGTACGTTTTCCATGTCAGATGCCTTGGGAATGTTGCAAGTGGAAGTTCAACATTTCGTTGGCAGTTTCAAAGCGGAATGAGCAGTTCTTCCGCCGGGTAGTAAGGTCGCAGCTGTTCCAGACGAGGAATGAGGAATGACGTTTTTGTATTGAATTACTGCCGGAATCAGTCTTATTAGGCGCGTCAGTCCTGGTGTATCGAAGAAGAGGACTCCTCCAACCCCTCTATTCGCAGTCCGCATTATTTGATCGTAAATGCCATTCTGGTCCAGTGCTAGCTTAGGAATGTTTGATTGGAGATACGACAGAAGATCAACCGGGTTGTAGTTTTGTTCACGCGGATGGCGGCCAAGTTGAGACAGGCCGCTGGCCGAGGCGGGTGGGAGGGGGTGGTGTGAACTCCACTCAATCATCACTTTGGAAAGTGGAATATGCAATGCAGTTGAGAAATCTCAACTGCTGGACAGATGTTGGAACGGGAACATTTACAGACAGCGTGCGAAGAAAGACGTATTCGTCCTGGTGGGAATGCACGGGATACAGTCTGCTATCGCAGCTCCTTTAAATATGCCCGGTTGTCCGTCGACTCACTCTCCACGTTTGCGTCGCTCGAAAGATTTTCTACAAGCATTCCATGTGTAATACGCAGGCACTTCCGAATACAACAGTGTTTTCGCTAACGCGTCATTTTGGCATAATGTGAAGAAAGCAGTTAGTGTTGTTGCCAGTGGATCTAGGACTATTTTTTGCACATTTGCACCTGGAAAGTAAACGCGTTGCCTATTCTCTAAATGTGCTGCTAAGTGAACAACAGTTGGACTTCGTTCATGTGCGCGAAATGAAAGAATTCGCCATACGGTTTCGTTGCTGCTGATGTATCTTCCAGCCCGATACTGTGCAATTTCATCACGTGTATGTCCGCATTCCTTTCTCCCCTTTCTGGGTTGAGGCCAAAAGTGGCCATTTCGCTGCCTTTATTCACGTACTTTTAAGTGTATCTACTTGATTTCACAGGGTTGCAGTAGTCCACATTTATGTGCGCGCTTTGTTTGCTTTTAAAAGCAAAGATGAATATGGAACATCTCAGCGGTTATCTACTTCTATGTCATCGTCTAGTATTTGTATGGTTGCCAATTTGCCGCCGTCTTCTGCTGATCATCTTCCGTATAAGGGATACCCATCATTTCTAAAACTGTGCTTGCATAATAATACCCGAAGATATCGCTCAGAGTATTTTCCCCTTTAATGCAGGGGGAATTGACATTCAGTCTACCATAAGGTGTGATATCATGCCTATCCACCGGTGACTGCCGGGGAATAAGAGCTGCTGAATACTACCCCCAAGTGGGATTACATGTGAATCTAATGAATAGGTCTGGACGCCCGTACGGACGAACATAAGCAATTGCATCTTGAGGGTACTCATGCATAGCGCGTTGACTGTCTGTATATGGGGGTGACAAAATCGCTAGTCTTCCAACGTTGATTGTATTACCGTTGTTTGCAATTGCATCGTCAAATGAATATATTCTTCAGAGCGAGGCATAGTCTGATTCAAGTGAATGAAAACAGACGTTTTGTTTCGATTTTTGCATACATATCCATGCCGTAGTGGTGGAATAATTGGCGGCATTTCAAAAGGAAATTGTATGCATTCTGTGGAATCACTAATGGATATGAGTAATAGTTCATTGCGCTGCAGTTCATGTGCGTTTCCTCGCCGCTGACTGGACTTATCATCTTTACATTGAAGTGATATCCGTCGACACCATCCCAAAAAATAAGCCGATGCTGCAGGAAATCGTAGCACCGATGAGTTTCTGCAACTTTTGTCAGTTGATCATTTCTCCGATGGAGAGCAGTCTCCCTACGTTGAAATTGATCTCCTACTATAACAATCACCACGTCGCGTTCATGTTGTCCAACGGGCGTTTTGTCAACAAAACTGGCAATCTTATGCGTATCAGATAGCCCCATGGTAGTTGCGGTTTTGTTTAAACGCACTAAGGTGTTTTTTTCGTAAAGAAGCTCTTGCAGTCGCGAACCAATGGAACTTTTTATTCCGGTAGAAATTCCGCAGCCTGCATTCCATTCGTCGTTGTCATCACCGATGAAGTAAAGTTGTAGGAATTTGTTCCGACCCCTTGGGAGCCGAACAAGGGAGTCGGTTATATGATAAATTTGTCCTTTCGCTTAGGAAGTTGGCATGAATAGACCCGTTATGATATCTGCGCAGAACAACGCTATTTGGAAGCATGAGTTGTAGTTCCTGATGTTAGAAAGGAAGGACTTTGATTCAGCGATCTGTCCGGCAAACAAAGTTTCTAATGGCTCTGACGTTTCTGGAAGTTCAGGTAGTTTAATTTTTCTGGTGGCGCAACAAATTCCTTAAGCTTCTTCGGTCAACCTCAGAACATTGCACTAAGGACACACTTCATTTATAGTGACAATGTGAGCATTACGGTTCACGCACTAGTCGTCGTCTGCATTGTACCGGAATGCATGGCGATTGTGATAGCGTGAATGCTGAGCACGGATTCGTATTTGACGCTGATCTGGTGTTTCTCGCTAACGTCTTTAAGTCACTCTCAGCTTGTCGTGCTCATTGTGTTGAAAGCGAAGCAGAATGTGATCTCTGTGTTCGCAGCCGGGCTTTCTCAAGTCGGGCTGCACAACACTCGGCTGCTTCCTCGGCACGTGTTTGAGCCATTCTTCGTCTGTTTCGCTCATTCGTTAATGCCCCGTTATTCTGCAGTATGATTTGCAATTACTCGTCGCGCTGCTTCCGCTGCGTGCGTACAACGACCCATGTCTGATCTTCTACGAGGCATTATGTGGGTGGACTAAAGAAAATCAAGTGCACTGGAGAAAGAAGAGAAAAAACTCGGTAAGATCGCATTTGGTAGCGAGAGATTATACGTTGATACTGTCTACGTACGTACTTGTTATCAGTAGGTATGCTCTTACTGAGTTACGCAGGTGGCCCGTTTCGGTCAGGCTGTTTGGGTTTACTGAAGGTTAAGGTAAGGCGTAGATTAAGTTTTAGAATTAGGGTTTACGTTTTAAGGTCAGGTTTCAGTGTTAGAGTTTGGGTTTGGGTTCCTGTTGGGGTTCCCGTTAGGGTTACGGTTAAGGTTAGGGTTACGGTTATGGCTAGGGTTGGGGTTAACGTTAGGGTTAGGGCTAGGGCTAGGGTTAAGGGTAGGGTCAGGGTCAAGCTTAGGGTTAGGGTTATGGCTAGGTTTCGGGTTGGCATTGGGTTTTAGGATTTTTTTTTCTTTTCGGTTTTGAGGCTTTCGGTTAGGCCTTACGGTTGCGGTCACGGTTGGATTTTAGGGTCAAGGTTAGGGTTTAAATTTCTACCATTATTGCACTTACTTCAAACTTCCCAACACATTCTCTGGTAAATTTACTCTTTCCCATATACTCCAACATTCCTCTACCAGCCCTTCCATTTACCCCACCCATATAACCCCCTTTCCCACCATTCGCGTAGGACAGGGACCTGGCTTTATGCCTCCCCATTCCTGGCTACCAACTGCAATCTAACCAAAAACTCACGAAATTGCAAAACCTTAAGAATTTCCATTGTAGAATAAAAAAGACACTTCAACCCAAAATTTACTTTACCCACCCAGATCCTCCAACCCTTCCCCTAAACCGCAGCTACAGAATAACTTCTGCTTGTCAGCATTTTCCTTTTAAACATTTCGACAGCAAAATTAATGTATAGGCCTGATGAGAACTTATCGAAAGCTTACGTATGCTCGCCAAATTGTCCTTTGAAACCTTCAGAAGTTGAAAAACTCAAATTATGAAACTCAAAAACTGTTAAATAAATTTTAAAAATGCCAACGAAATCTTTCAAATCAGGCGCCGGGATCCCCCAAGGTGGACGTGCCCTAGAGACAACTTTGGGATGGAGCCATAGAGGCCAACTCGCAGTCCACCAATCCGCCACTCCAAACCAACACACACTGGTCTGATTGCGAGGTCTAAACTATAGAGTCATTTGGCAACCTTCCACGCCACGGCTTTCAGCGCACTATGACGAATTCAAGCGCATAAGATTGCTTATAGTAAGGAATATGCACTGACTCACCAATATTTGCCACTACCAGGCACCAGTCCGCCGTCCAGGCCTGCCAGATGCCTGATGTCGCAAATGGGTGCGTTGGCTGACAAAACTAGAGGGCCCGTCTGCGCGTGCAACAACCAAGACCCACCCCCAAACGCACAAACACGCGAGGATTACACACATAGGGGAACCTCTATGAATTTCATGTGTCTCAGGCTGGACCATGAAGAGGAAACCATCGGAGACTGGCTCAGTCCAGCACTCAGCCACTCAATTTGCAAACAAAACGGCTGAGCCCAATGAGTGGTCTGAGTTGAAACGTCAGTTGGCAGCCTACCAGGCCACAGCTTTTGATTTACCAGGTCAGTCTTGAGCGTGTCGGTTTGCTTATAGCAATGAATTTTTGCGCTGAGACCGCCGACCTCCCTCACTCTGCCCCATCTCGTGCCGGTAAACCAACCGATGCCAAGATTTCGAGGGTGGACTGACAAACTTGAAATCAGCTTGCCTCCCTGTGTCACACATGACCCAGCCCCTATACAAACACCAGATTTTTATACAAGAGGAGTACATTGTTGAGAATCCACATGCAGCAGAGAAGCCACATAGAGAAAGGAGTCCGCGGGCACGCTTCCCGCCTACATGAGAGGTACCGGTGGTGTGGCATTTTGAGGTGTTTATGCGGGTGCATGTGTGGATGGGAGAATGCAGACTGATGTCTGCGGTGATTAACCCGCAGATTTCTGCGTGTATATGCCTCCAAATAGTCACAGTTCATGACTGAATGTGAGAGAGTAATGCGGGCAACTGAGGCGACGGCATCTGATGTAGTTTGGTGCTTAGGAAGCTGGTTGGACTGGTATCTGTGTAATGGATTCGCAAATGACTGACCAAGCCGATGTACGAGGATAACGCATGGTAAGATTGTGCCCAGGATAGACTAGGAGATGTTGAGTCGGTTGTCGTTTTAATGTTGTTATTTGTGGCTGCTCTGACTCTTGGAGAGTTGATTAGGCTATGGAGGGGAGGGTGGGTGGATGTGCAAGGTGTGTTAGTTGTATCGAGGCCGCAGTGTGTTCCCATGGGATTGAAGTTCACGTGACCGAATAGGCGTAGACAGTGTAGACAGCGAAGGCGGCTACGCGCGAGTGTGTTAGGGCTTCTGGTACTGATGCGTCGGTCACAGCATGATGGGCCCGCGAGTAACTAACCAGGTCGTTGTGAGGTAAATGTGTGATTGCAATCAGGACAGGTTGAAACCGAGTCCACGTAGCTGGAGGTGAGAATGAGAATGGTGAAGGTGGTGGATGACTATCCGTCGGGAGCGTTTTAATATCTGACTTTTTGTATTCTTACTCTAGCACATCATCGGAGATAGGCTAAATGAGGAATGCATGGTTTAAGTAGACCACTTGTGCTCTTACCTGATAAGCCCATCCTGTTCTCTTCTTATTGGCTCTCCTCTCGCGCGCGCACGTAGTGCCTTACAGCCTAATATAGCGCTGGTAGGTCACCAATGCAGTTGGTCAAGTTGGCGCTGATTGTCTGGCTTCGATTACTTCTCTTACGAAGTTGCTTTCGGCTCGGCCGAGCGCTTGGACACCGTCAAATTCGAATCCGTGATTATTTTCTAGACTGTGCATGATGACGTGCAGCCATACATCGTTTCACTTTGCGGCTAAGGCGTGCTCATGCATGCGCGTCCTAAATCGTTTGTCGGTCATGCTGCATTAGCTAGCCAGACATCCTAGACAGTTGACGTGGTAAATCACGCCTGACGTGTCCGCAGGCGGTAACTGGATGAGTAAACGGCGAATGCTGGCCTCCGCCCTGCGTCCAACACCCACGCTAGCGGTCTTAGTATACGCTCAATGACTTCAGAGACGTTCCTCAAGTAAAACAAAACACGGAAGATTTCAGATCCTTTTTTATTCTCATCGTCGACCCCCGTGTGTCTTTGGTATAAGTAATTGTAATTGTAATTGTTTACAAAACTGCGCAGAAATCCGTTGGCAAGGAAGAGGTGCCATGGGGTTTTAGACTACCACAGTTTCTCAGTTTTTGCGCCGAAGTGTGTGTTGATGTAACGAAAATTCTCTGGACGCAACTGCGTTTATGCGGCAGGGGTATGGTTTCTGTTGTAGTAAGGAATTTCTCCGTGTTTGTCGCATTTCGAAGGAGAACAGTCTGACAGGTTCTGTCTTCCTGTCTCGGTAACCGGGCGTCGAAGAAAGGGAGCACCCCGTCATTTTTTTCCTTATGTTAAACTGGAAAACCGAGTTTAATTCACTTTTAAAGTTGTCTTTTGAGCCTCGACGTAGGATGACAAATGTGTCGTCTACGTAGCACATCCAGAATTTCGGCTTTTAGGGGTGAAAAATCCGAGTCTCCAGTTCCTGCAAGACCGCCTCATTCAGGTAGCCGAAGAATAGGGACCCCATTGGGACGCCCACTGGTTGTGCCACTCTGAATTTTTCTTTAACGATTTCGTATGCGGCATCTAGGTCGGTATGCCGACTGATGCATGCCTCATCTGAGTGCACTGCTTCTGGGAATTCGCGGTCTTTTTTGTTGGGCGGACGCCAACAACACGAGTGCTTTCCTACACAATTGCATGTCCAGTGTCTAGTGTGTGCATGGTCACCTGGGATATATGGTCGCGTCTCCTTAACTCTAACTGATGCTCATGTATACGGGTTAAGACAGATCTCCCAATATGACCCCAGTAGACGGCCGGAACATGGGACTTTGTACACAGCACCTTTTTATCGAGGCAGCCAACCCTGTCTTTCGGCTGTAAGAGCTGCGTGCGTAAGGTAGTTGCCGGCTGGTGTGCTATGTGTATCTGATGTTGTTTAATTGATCTCGACTAATTCAGATACATTTTTCACGTGCGTAGAAAGTCGCCAGGTGGTAAGTTTTCGTTCCCGGGCGGCAGCAGCCTTAGAAATACCCACTCCTTTGAATTGCTGGTGCCTCATGCATAGACATACAAAGTCATGCGGGTACCCGTTTTGTGAAAATAGTTTGTAGAGGTATTCCGTTTCTTCTCGATAACTAGCTCCATCAGGTCTGTGCGTTTTAGCTCGATCCAGAGGGCTGTGGATTGTACTCCACTTGCGGGAGACAGGTTGGTTACTCTCAAAATGTAGGATAATCTCTGAATACGCCTTTTTGCGATAAACTGACGCGTGAAATGATTAATAAGTTTTTATGGCGTACAAAGACATCCAGAAATGGGAGCTGTCCATCAACCTCCGTTTTGAAAGTAAACTTGATTTCTGGAAATGTAAAATGAATATTGGTATGGATTAGATTTAACCGGCTTTTCTTGTCAATGACAGAATTGTTGTCTACGTAGCTCAGCCAATTTTTGGGTTAATTGTGAGAAGATCCATAGTTTTTTATTCTGTCAGGAAACCGGATAAGGCTAAACCCATGGGAACACCTTTTAATTGTCGTAATATTGGTTGGAGAAGGAAAAGTTCGTTTTCAGACAGAGACGGTCACACGGTCTTCATCAAACACCACCAACTACCAGCCTGGACGGGCTCTTGGATTTCAGCCGTCATTTTTGTAATCATCCATTCACGTGTGGATTTTTAAAATCTGTACACTACTCTGCCTATTTCCCTTCGATATACTGACCTTTTTTGCATGCCTTGTCTCCTTCAACACTCGCACTGATGCCCGTGTTGATCATATTTTGACCAACCACGGCAAGTTTTTTTGTGTTAAGAATAGGGCTCCATCGTCCGGCTCAAATCATTCTACTTTACTTGGTCTTCCGAAAATCTATTCCGCCTCTAAACGCGCACTGTTATCCAAGTCAGAGAGAAAGGTTAATGTTCGCAACACGTCTGCACAAAACATTCACCTGCTCCAGATTTGCATATCTCGTACATTCCCCGCTTTCCTCAAACGATCTAATGTTGAATCATGTTCCTTCACCTAGCAGCGTTTTTGAATGGAATGTTTGGCATCTGCTGTTCTCTTGATTCTGTAATGGTACGACCGGATAGGATCACTTTTCCATATCTACAACTTATAAGACGAAAAAAGAACTACTTTGCAAGCTTGGCTTACGTGACAGCCTTAAGGACGTTACCGTCTGAATAAAAACAGAGATTGCCAGACCAAATGGCCTGTGTGTTAGCCAGCTTTTTACCCCTTCTTCCTCCTATTTTCCCCCTTCCTCCACTGAAAGTTGGAAGAATCTTAAGAGTCTCACGGACCATCGTAGCACACTGGTACATGTCGATGCTAATTAAGACTCCTTAAACAAAAAAGTTATCCTCAGTCACAATGACTCCCATCTTCCATCAAATGACATACCCCTATTACCATGTGCCTTCCAACCCGTGTCTGTGGCAACGGTAGAGAAACACCTTAAAGAGTTCCGTAGGTCAACAGCTGCCGGACCGGATGGTGTCTAACCTCTTCTTCTTAGATGTTGTCCCCGGATAGCCCCTATATTAACGCACCTCATTAACATGCTCTTCACTGACTCCAAGATTTCTGACGCCCAGAGTACAGTGAGGATCACTCCCATCCCTAAAATCTGCTAATCTTAGTTATATATCATTTCGTCCAATTGTCTGCTTTTCCGCACTACTAAAGCTTTCTGAAAGAGTTGCCCTAGATATTATAAAGGCATTCTCTTCCTGTTTTGCCGATCCTCTACAATTTGCATTGAAAGTCAAACGTAGCACCTTAGATACTGTTGCTACTGTGATCCACTCTGCCGTAAAAGAATTAGACAAGGTTGTCGCGAATTAGCATATACTTTTCTTGACTACTCCTCTGTCTCCAATATCGTCCTGCGCCCACTTCTGCTTACCGAAACATCCGCGTGCGGCTCTTCAGACTGAGTAGTCTCTTGCCTTAGTGATTATTTTAGTACCCAAACTCAATTTGTCTAATCTGGCAAGCGGAAACTTATGGTCCTTCCCAATGACTGTGGAGTTCTTCAAGGTTCCATTCTATCGCCTCACCTTTTCTCCCTCCACACCGACGATCTAAGATCCCTTAAACGACTGTCTTTTTTTTAAGTATGCTGATGATGTGGTTGTTGGACACCCTCCCAAAAATCGGACACACCTCCTGTATCTGAACAATGGCCTTGAACATGTTCCAGAGTGGTCGGAGGAAAGTGGTCTCCCAATGAACAATCAAATGTCAGTTTATTGTCAATATAAGTGAAAATGCAATTCCTATATGCATATGAAAAAAAAGAGGTGTTCACCGGGAAGGGTTTATTGGAGTTCCGACGTTTTGAGTAATTGGTTCATCTACCCATCTTCAGAGACTGGGAAGTCCTGTGCACATCTCCCCTTTTATGGCGCAATTTGTTCAGTGCGTGACCGCCAATGCCGCCTGTGTGGCTGCATCCAACCCGCATGTCACCGTGACCTGAATCGCCTCCGTCGACCGCGAAGATGTCTGACGACCCCGATCGTTTCGCGCCGTGACTGTTCCCCGTTAAAAAGGTTCGTAAAATCAGATAGGGGGAGGCAAATTGATGTGGAGGTTGACAGTGCAGTCGGTGTTCATCCAGGCTTCTTGCACTTGCCTTGCTGTATGATGACCGTCCCGACCCACATTCTCAACGGTGTCAAAGTTGAAGATGTGTCTCATTTGCGCGACAGGTGTTGCCACCTCCGACTTTGGGTACAACCTTCGCACAGCCAACTTATGCACGTGCATTCGCGTTTGCAGCCGTCGGCCGATTTCCCCAACGTAGTCGCACCTTCCGCAGCTGCTTTGAAGTCGGCAGACAATGGCCGATAACTCCTGCTTGAGAATCGGATCTTTTGGCCGCATCACTTTCCGGCGGATTGTTAAGTCAGGTCTGTGGGCAGCACCAATTCCGATTGGCGCGAGGGATCTAGCCACGGCCTCGGAGAACCCTTTGGTGTACGGAATGCTGCAGCACGAGTTTGACTGACTATGCTCTTCATTCAGTCTCTTTGGCTGCCTTCGGCTCCGTTCAGTGAATATCCGCGGATAGCCGTTGACTCTCAAGAGTTCTTGGAGGGGCATTATCTGATCTGATAATTTTATTTAATGCCAGTTTACAGGCATTGTCAAGGGAAGCGTTAAACAGAAATCCGACCAGCAGTGAAAAAAACTCCTGAAGTAAAGGAATAAAAATACAGTTGATGGTGGTTTTTATGGTTTGGAGGGTTCAAGAGAAAAAACTGCTGGAGGCATACATTCGAAAGTCAATAAGGGTGGGAGGGGGTTTGCACGGTATCGGAGATAATCGGACGTCAATTCCTTTCATGAAGTTGAGGATAGCCAAAGTAGAGGCGTTGAGGAACAGCTGTCGATGTTGGCCAAAGAAATTGTCCATGGTCAGACAGGCCATAGTGTTCAGAGACCACAAACGCCATCGCTACGGTACAGCCGTTCAGTGGACTCAGCACCCAAAATTTGTGGGAGCTTTTCTGAATGCAAAAATCGAGTAATAGTTCTCTTAAATAAAGGATAATTTTGCAGAATTTTACATTCCTGGGTAGTTTATTCCAAATAGCAATTGCATTTATAGAATAGAACCGAAGATATTTAACAGTACGTGCCAGAGGAACAAATAAAAAGACCTCACGGTGACTGTTACGTCGTGGGTGGACATGGTGTCTTAAAGAGGTGAGTGGGTTAAATGTGTGATTATATAAGAGTTTAAATAGCAAAAATAGTCCCTTTTGTAATCTACGGAACTATAAAAGATCAAGGCCCGTAAGCCGGCAGCGTTCTTGGTAAGACAAATGTCGGTGTTCCGGCGTTAAAATTCTCTTGGTAAAAAAGTGTTGAACGGATTCTATTTTCTTTCGCTCAGTAGCATGCATGAGGCTAAATAAAAACGAACAGTATTACAGGCCAGGTCGAACGTACATATTGAAAATGCGCATTCTTATGCACCTAGTTTTAAAGTTTCGGAGGATAAACCCGGTCGTTCCACGTGCTTTGGAGACTATCAAGGCACAGTGCTCCGAGAAATTGAGACTCTTGGTGTATGGTACGCCCAGATCCTTAATAACCCCAGACACATTTATGGCATGACATTCAATACGTAGTTGAGGTTGGCGGTTGTCGTCAACTACCATGACTGAGCACTTATGCCAAGAAAGATAAAGGCGCCATGTGCGGCACCTCTGGGCGAGAGCCTTTACATCGCTCTTTAGGAGCTCAAGCACGATGTCATGATCTGCCGGCTTATATCGATATGCAACTTTAAGATCATCGGCATACATGAAAGGCTTACCATTCTGGAATATATCGGGTACATCATTAACGAAAAGGCAAAATAAAAGCGGGCCGTGTACACGACCTTGAATGACTCCACCCCTCACATGTGTGGGGTTGGAGATGGTATTGGAAATCTTAACACGTTGTGTACGAGTGCCAAGGTAAGTGGTTATAAAATTTAAAAGTTTGCCACCTATTCCGAAAGAGGACAGTTTCAAGAGAAGAAGAGCAAGGTCAGCATGGTCAAAAACATTAGTGAAATCGAAATCTACTGCGTAAAGTGCAAAAACATTGTCTGTAGATTGGAGAATATAGTCAAAGAAAGAGAGTTGACAGGTGTCACAAGATCGAACATTGAGGAATCCATGCTGAGCAGCACTCAACAAGTTATTCACTGTTAAGTGACACATCATCTTCTCTTTGATCAATGTCTCTAAGATCTTCGAAACTGCGAGGAGGGTGTTCATTGGCCGAAAGTCATCAAATGACGTAGATTTGCTGTGCTTAGGAATGGGCAAAATGTGTGATTCCTTCCACAAGGTAGGATAAGTTTCACTTTCAAGAGCGAGATTAAATATCTTGCATAAGAGGGATGGGAAAATCGTATTTGCATCGGATTATAAAATGCTTACTCGGACACCATCGGGGCCTGGACTATAAGATTGACTAAAACGCCGAATGGCAACAGTCACGTCCCACAGAGTGAAAGTGATAGTATCAAGAACTGCCCCGGTCAATCCCTGGATGTTCGGAAGCGGAGTGGTCGAGACTTCAATAAACGTTTTGGACATGAAATCATTGAAGCTGTCAGTGGTTAACTGAGCATCAATTATGGGATTTCCGAGAGCGTCTCGGAGGATGGGATGCTGCGTCTTTCGCTAAGTTCGTATTTTTCTAGAGAAAAGTTTCGAGACACTTAACGAATGGTTTTCGGTAAACTGGATCTCCTCGGCTAGCTGTTTTTCTTCAGACAGTCTCATAGCCCGCCCAAAAATATCCCAAATCAAGGGCGGGACAGAAACGTCATTCTGAAGATGGAATCGACGAGAAAGTCCGCGCTATCTACGACGAAAGGGCAAGCGTAGGATAACCTCATTCCCAACATTAATAATTTTCTTACGGGGGACAAAACGTGAAATAAGCGGATCCAAAATTTCGTACAGTTTTGCGATGCAAACATTTACGTCCGAACAAAGGAAGAAATCAGTCCAGTCGTAGGAATTGAGGTGTTTTAATAATTCGGTTGACCGAGTTGATCGGAAATCGCGGGAAAATTTATACTTTGTGGAGGACGTTTTGTCAGCCTCGAATTCCAACGTTGAAACAACTATGTCATGGTCTGAGCCCCCCATTGGGCCTAGGGATGACACTAACGATGGCATGCATCCTCTACAGTAAATTAGGTCAAGAATGCTTGAGCCTCGGGTGGGAAAATCGACAACCTGACTCCACATCCCAACATTCACAGCCTCAAGAAGTCTTCGAACCTTCTTGGGCCTGAAGGCGGAGACCAGCGGACTTCCGGAAGATTAAAGTCACCCGCAACCAATTGATACTTAAAGCTTAAGTCGGCCGCAGCATGAAATGCCAGTGAGAGTAAACGATCGAATTTTTCGTTGGCGTTGGGAGGGCGATAAACACAGTCAACGTGTAAGGAGAACCTATTTTTTAGAGCAACCTGCAGCCAGCAGCTGCCTTCTACTGCGGAAAAATGCGGGAGGTCAAGCGGCAAACATGTAAGTGTTTGCTTAACGTAGACGCAACTGCCCCCATCACGGCTGTCTTGGTGATCATTTCGAATGCAATTATAGCCTAGAAGAGAGAGTTCGGAGTCGGCTACGGAGGCTGACGCCCACGTCTCAGTTACTAAAACAGTATCTGGACAGTGGACGAACACCAGAGTCTGAAGCAAGGGCATCTTATTAAGCAAGGATCTGACATTTAAAACAAAAAGATTCAGGGGAAAGGCTGTTTGTTTCTAAGGGAGGTGGGCTAGGTCGTCCAGTGCTTGGCTGCCCACGGAGCAAACGGTTCGGATGTAACCATCCGGTTCTGCAAACAAATTTTGTGGCATCAAAAGATTCTGACGTGGATAAAACGGGGTAGGACTTGGGGGAGGAAATGACGGGCAAGTAAACTGGTAAGCATTGTTAGCTAACTCATTTTCAGCTGGAACTCCGCGGGCCAGATACTGAAACACATTCTCGCCTGAACGAATCTGAGGATCGGATGAGTTAACTGATCCAGTATGGACATTAGCATGAGGAATACACTGATAAAACGGCCGTGGTGGAAACAAGTTAGGGGATGGAGGACGCATTGTTTCCATTGGAGCAAGAGTTCTATTAAACGGCCGGAAAATCGGCACATTCGGCCAAACTGCCACAAAATGAGGGCTGGGGGGCAGTTGGGAACACGCTGTGTTTTGAGTCGGGATGTTTGAGGCACTGTTAGCCGATTGTTGAGGAAAAGATTTTCCTGCTTTGCTCAGAAAGAACTGTTTATTTTAAAACGAGTCTTCCGTACGCTCTTTTCTATCGCTGGTGTTTCTTATCATTTTAGTCTGTATTATCCTCTAACGACATTTCATGACGGTCGAATTCTGGATGATGTTGACCATTCCTTGCATCCTGATCTTATTTCTGCGAAGTCCTCCCGCCCGATGTGCCGCGGCTTCCGACGTATCTCTTGTCGCACATCGGCATATACAGATTCTGTAGTATCATCCCCGACGCCCCATCTTACGTGTGAAGAGATAGAAAAACTGAAACTATGACTTGAACTGTCCACGTGATAATCATTCTTTTAGTTCTAAACATTTTAGCTCTTGTGTGATCTATGAACGTATTTACTGCCCATAGTGAATGGTGCCCATTTTTGTCGAAAATGTTGAATTTATGTTTTCAAACTAAGGCAAATTCCTCCTTCTCTCTCTAAAGTACGCTGGCTATGATAACTGATAAATAAGCAGCCGCGAACCATCGGCAACAACGCCACTAGGGCTTGTGTTGCTGCAGGCCATTAGTCATATGAAATGCCCTACGTCGGATGATGTCACTGCGACATAGTGACTGTTAATCGTCATTTAACAGACTCCCTTGCTACTGCTCTTCCGTCATTAGTTTCCTCAGCTAAAAGTTTTAAGAAAATAACTTCCTACAGATAACCGGAAGATAGCTGGAATCTCCCCGTATTGAAATGTCATAAAAATCCTCTTGAAATTAAATTACACTTCAACGTAATATGCTAGATCTACGGCGATATGAATCACAATCACGTACATCAGACCCAATCCGGCAGTGAGTGTGAGTAGCAGGCGAGTTGGACGACTCAGTCGCAAACGGACACATGCTAGAAACTAGAATGGGTTTGGGGGTTATCAAGACCTAACGGTGAACTCTTACACTATCCCACATTACCGTGTCCGCACGGCCCTCCATTCCGGAACTGGCGGAAGGCGATCTTATTTACGTTTTCCACCTGATTGACTAATATGTGTGTGTTTCATGTGACGTTTGGAAACTATTGTTCGATCTTCCGTGGGTCTGTTATCTACATCGTTGTATGCAATGATTTTATTTCACAGGTAGTAAAAAGTAAAGTGCGTTTTCTTGCCATGATCCAACACGTTCCGAAAGTTGTTAGCGCCCTGTAAATTTTTTTGTCTTGAGCCTTATATAATTACCTCTATAAATTTCAGTTGATTATTCATCGCCTACTCAATTTTTGATCTGCGCTCAGCATAGACAGTCAGTTATGGTTTTACTCCACTGAAATTAAGGCGGCGGAGCCGACTCTGCGACTCGAAATGATGCGGAGTGTGGCTCCTTCTCTGCTGCTTGTTGGAATCAAACAAGTACGCCTACTTATTTATGCCGTTTATGTGATTTTCTTGGGTGTTTTTTACTGGCTTAAACCCAGTTAGTAAGAGGCCTGTCTTAATAGAACAACAGGCGATTTCGTACGCGTCCTTTTTTAAAAGTCGCTGTGCAAGTCCAACCAAAATGCAAATTCAGGCTGATTTGTCCCTTTACTCACATCACTGCTTATTTTTTCCGATTTCATGCTTTTTGTCCCTGTAATAGAAAGATTTGGGGTTTGGCGCGTGTCAATATGGACCCTGATAACCTTGCACTAGCAGGTCATATTTGAGGGTTTGTGTGTGGTCAGTAATGTGTTTTTATCTTTTCGCAGAACTTGCGCCAAGCTACATCCGGTTAGATTGTACCTACAGGAACTACTGGCAACAGTCAGTCAATCACAAAACCACCCCCAGACTATCCGTAAGAGCTAGCCAAGAGCGAATGTAATGCTCTCAGAGGGACATGCATGCAGAGTAAACTTATCCCAGAAAATGCCTGAATGGGAGTCGGTACTCGATTACTGGTATTGCACTTAACAGAATTGATCAGTCCATTTTAATTCCACGCCAACACATTTAAGACCCTAATATATGCAGTGATTAGGTGGAACGCAGCTAGTATGTACAGGGTATACAAGGAACGCACTGCCGTCGCGCGAGCAATTGAGCCCCCAAACTCTAACGTTAATAAGTCTAAATTTAAGAGAATGTTGCTGGCGAACTTCACCAAAGAAGTTGTGTTAAGTGGCCAGCGACTCTGTCAGCACCAACCCCGTCTAGTCCCTTCAGGCACCGCGGTGCTGGAAGGGGCGTCGTGGACGCCAGTTACAGATTGTCTTCGGCCGCGTAAGTGTTACCTATCCCCGCCGGTTGGCTCAGGTTATATTTATGTTGCCGATACTGACGGTTGTGACTGCGCTGGGAACTAAGACGACTGCACGTGTAAGTATTGGCCTCTACAAAACCAGTGCTAGAAGTCTCGCATAGGCGGTAGAAAAACGCAGCTCTTTTAGTTAGGCCGTAACGGCCGATTTTCAAGGCAATGGGCGAATTTTTATTGTTATACCTGGAATTTTTCTTAAACCCTAATTTTTGAGGACTGCATCGTGAGGCCGAAGTGATCGTCTGTAAATAATACGAAGTCCGGCCAGTGTGATTCCGGCATTTCCCTGGATAAGTTAGAGACCCCCTTTGTGATCTGATGTCAGTCTGTTAGGATTTTCCAAGGGTGCCAGATTAGCTGAAGTTATCATAAAAATATTTTCAGCAGACTTGTCAAACAGAAACGTTTTCTTTGTACTATCTGTTGATTATCCTACGCCCCTCCGCTGTGCGTGGAGATTTTTGACGCTGTCTTTATGCATATTTTATTTTCTGTAGGAAGAAACAACTCCCCCGGAAAGTCATGAAGTTAAGCCTTACAGGGTAGTCCTGGCATTCTTCTTGATATTTTTTCGTTAAGGCTACTGATTCAGTCCGGCCAAGTCGACCTGTAAGACATATTTGCGTTATAATAAGGTGGGTCTTATCGATAGCGTCAGTGCCGGCGATCCTTCCCCGAATACGAATCCGCACCCAGTGAAAGTGATTGGGAAAGCAGTGGTGACGAGTGGCAACCTTCACACTCTCCAGCATCATCGCGTTTGTCAAACAAAACAAAAAATGGAAGGCTGGCGCCCTCGAGTGCATCAAAGACTCAAACAGAAGAATCAAATACAGCCGACAGTTTGTCAATTCCTGTCACCGAATCATCTGAAGCAGAAGCGCATATGGGCGCGGGTCTTTCAGGTTTCCCCTTAGTTTTTTAGGCTTATCCTTTTAGTAGAAATGATTTGTCCTAAACGCGAAATTGAAGACCCTAAATCCCAGGAACATTCTGACAATCTTGAAGATGTCCGCCATTTGTGTGAGTGTGACTTACATCGAAAACCAAATATTTATTTTATTTTCTTCTCTCACGCTCATGTTACTTGATGGTTATAAAACTTTATTAATATTGACCAAACTGTGAAAAACTTGGCGCCTCAGTGGAATTCGAACCCATGACAGTAAGGGGAAGGCTTTAGTAAACCAACGCTCGAACCACCTGAGCTACGAGGCCCCGCTGGACGACGCGAGTTTAATCACACTTGGGTTAATTTACCCGCCCAGCCTACTGCAACGTCTGGACTTCACCAAATCTGATACAATAAGTTGACTGCCCAAGCAGGATTTCCTAAGTAATTTATCTAGAATCCACCAGATGACTACCAGGCTCACATAATTCATAGATATTTTGGCAGATTTTGAATAATTCATACCGACCCACCTGTGGAAAACTTGGTGCCTCGATGGGATTCGAACCCACGACAGTATTGGCTGGTAACTTGATCCAAATGTGATTAAACTCGCGTCGCCTGGCGGGACCTCGTAGCTTAGGTGGTTAGAGCGTTGACTGTATTAAAGCCTTCCCCCTTTTGTCGTAGGTTCGAATCGCACCGAGGCGCCGAGTTTTTCACAGTTGGGCCATTGTAAATCATTCCAAATCTGCCAAAACATCTATGAAAAACCTAATGATTCAATTGCGGTTCCCTAGCTTATTAATTTCCAGAGAACGTAATTTGCATGCCATTATCCAGATATGTAGTTCGAAGTATTGTTTGAGTCATTTCTGATTAATATAGCTGCATATGTCATATTGCGGACTCAATGAAGCTTTATGAAGAACAATCGTTCGCCTGTCTGCCTTATTTCAGGCCTGGACCGGTCATAGGGGGAATCTTATCACAGTCATTTTCAAAACCCTAAGGGCAACAGCCCTTTGAAGGGGATAACTAGAAAAGTCAGAGCTGTAATTGAGCTTTTGTTAGAAACCTAGCAGACGAATTTCGACTCATGTTGAGTGGCGAATCGCACATTTTCAGAAATGAAAACCGAACACGCCTATAAAAATTGGAGCCTTTTGCACGTTTACCACAGGCAAACGTTTGGACTTCGGCGGAAGTCATCTTCTTTCGTCTCCAGCACTTGTGCAAGTGACGCTGAATCCACTTAATATGCAGCTTTTTGGACGTAGAACACATGACTTGATAGATAGTGTATCTGGCCTACTGCCTTGTAGATCACTGCGGAAAATTTTCGACACTCAAATGCGCTAGTCGATATCAGCAAGAAAGCGTACTTCAGAATAAAGTTGCAATGCAGAAGGCTCGGCCACTGGGGCGAGGATTTTAGCAGTCCGAATTTTGCGGAATTGAAGTGCAGTCCTTCAGCAGAAACAACAACAGTCAAGGGCAGTGAATTCACAGGAGTTGTAGTTTATGACGCACTTGCTATACTATCATACATCTATCGAAATTAGTTTCCACGTTCATGACCGATAGTCGTGTTTGTTGCGATGATAGCCCAATCGCCCTCATGCAAATCGTTAATTGCAACGATTTTGTCTCCAGTGTTGGTTACTTGTCGCGACAATTGCTGTACCCTTTGGCCCACTAATACCGTCGTTGGAAGCAGTGTTCGCCCGCGCCTCATGACTAATAACTCCTCACAGGCAGAGATTTAGCTTTGAATATGGGGGAAGACAGCATCTGTTGGTGGAGTGGGGCTCGTGAAACCATTACTCAAGCAGTTTGCAGCTCACACGATTAATGTTGAACTTCTGGGCAGTGTTGCGAGCTCCAGTCATCTTATCATTTTATTTTTTTTTCGCCCCCATATTGCATTGTAGTCGAAGAGTGCCATAGATTTCTTAAGTAATCCCTAACTATATGAATCTACACAATCTTCTTCAGGAGGGGATGATTTACTGGTCTTCAGACATGGTAGCCGCTTGTGTCCATGACTTTCTATTCACTCCGCCAGCAATTTTTCAGATTTAGCTCGTAGGACCTCGTCGATAGTTCTTTGGTAAACGGGTAAATCCAGTTGGCCATAGCTTTTAGCAACAGTCTGAGGCATCTTGCAATCCTTTTAGCCAGCCGAGATTGACAGTAATGTTTGATAAGTGTCTGTGGGCAATCCTGACTTGATAACTCTGTTTGCATTCGTCGTTATCATTATTGCCCACTTTTGACGTGTCTGCTGACCAAACAAAATCAGCGAGAGGTAGGCCTTTGGGTAGCAATTCCTAAGGTTTTACGGTGCGTTGCTACACCACAGCCAAGTGAAGGGTCATGCGTCTAGACGCATTCAGCGTGTCGCGAAGGGAAAATGCTTGTCGACTGCACTGCACTTAGTCTAAAATACCTGTACGTTGTATTTAAGAAGGCTTACTCATCAGTATTTGCCTGTCCGACGACAAGAGTTTATACCGCTTTCTCGAGTAGGGCATGCTTTGACCAATCAGACCTTTTGATCGTTCACGAGATCACTACACATCTAGGCGGACAAAGTCTTTCTGTTGCGGGGAAGGCCCCGTTTTGTTTGTCGAAACGTCTTTTTAGTAATCCGATGATGTGACGCCAGCCTGCAGCTTTATTTGTCCAGTATGAAAATGACGAAGAAAGAGAATGAACATTCCGGTTTTGTTTGAAACTAACCCTTTTTGTATTTCAGCACGGCGAAAACACACGTGTGGGCTTTGTGGCAAGTCCTTTGTATACATGAGTCACCTGAAAGACCATGTCAACGGTGTCCACGAAAGTACTTTCCCCTTTATTGGCCGACTGTTCCTCTTTGTCGGCGAATTCTCTTTTAATGTATGTTTTTGTTTTGTCGCACAACGCTTACTCAAAGCCAGCCTCTGCACCCAGCTCCGCTGCCAGTCGTCATGACGTAGTTTTACCGCCGGTCTGGTCAACTTTTTCAATTTTCGTAGAATAGTCCTACCATCTAGCTTCGTGCTTTGACTGTTTGGAACCTGGAAATCAGTAAACGTCAAGTAAAGATAAGTTGCACCTGTTACCAGACCTCTAAAGTTTAGAGCAGTCTTTACGCGGTCCAGAAGTATTGATCGCTCCAACACTTACTTATGCCGGAAAAATCAACTGTTTTCTCGAGAGCTTGGCGGCATTAACACAATGCCACCCTCCTAGAAGCGCTTTTCAATCGATAGTGGTTACGCTCTGTTCCCTAGATTAATCTTCAATCATCTTTCCAGCGAACGACTACACCCATTCTCACGAGTAGAATCGCGTTCTTCGATTATTTTACTGCAGCATCAACTTGTGTGGTAAAATTTTAAGCTTATTAGGTATGGCAAGGCCTCTTATCAACTAAAGCCTGGTTGTTTTTTTTGCAGAAATCCGAGCATATTCCTGTGAACTGTGTACAAAATCCTTTAGGAAGAAGGCAGACCTGAAAATACATATCGACGGCTTCCACAAACGTGCGTTTTTTTCTCGCGCTTACCTGCTTACCGTTTTTTGTTATTTGACAAGTGCACTTTTATGCAGTGTCTACTTTCTCCTCGAAGCCTGTTTGGGCCGCAGTGTCTATGCAGACGACCATGCTTCCTAAACGTAGGGCCTAGTGTCATATCTCTGAAGCTTGGTGCTATTGTCTTCGAAAAGGGGGGCGCGGTCGTATGCTCCTCAGCCAAAGTTTCTGATACCATTTTACGAACTTTTGAAACTTTGAATGACATCTTGCCGGCAGCCTGTGTTCTAATTGATCGGAAAGCATGCGCGCACAAAACATCATTCTCAACTCTCTCTCAGGTTATTACTGAGTCTTTAATCTGTACGGCGGCCTTAGTACGCAGTGCAAACACAGCAGTGACTCTGACACCTGCCACTGTCCTGGTAAAAATAGGAGAAGAGGGGCTTCGACCGCCAAAGGTAGTAAGACCCACCAACTGCCCTTCGGGGTGGGCTCATCATCGGCGACTTGGGCGTGCATTTGTCTAAAGTTAAGTAGTCTTGCGCAGCATCTACCGCACTTTCCTCATCGACATTTATCTGATGGCAAGACAACGTCAAGACGGGCTAAACTGCCCATCTACGCGATTGCACTCACTATATTGTCTCCATTATATGTGCCAAGCTTCTGTAAGGGGGGGGGGGGGCTCACGATTGTCACACTGAATAGGAGCCATTGCGGTCCGACTCTGACTAATCCTGTCACTCTAACATAATCCCATGTGGAGTAATGCATCCCGTCAATTGGCAACCTTCAGAGCCACGACTCTTAGCTTGTTGTAACGAAATCAAGCACGTCAGATTTAATATGATGAGGGAGGTCCTGATTTGCCGCGAGAACGGATTCCACTGTGCCTTTCCTTTCCCTTGCATCAGCTGAATGTGGACGCCTGCCAGTCTGGGGATGACATTTGGATCAGTGACTGACAAAGCTAAGCAGTCCAAAAACGTGTGTCACAAACTTCACCACCTGGTCCTACTTTGTTTGCCAGGTTATTGTAAGGGTTTTAAAGTAACGTCAACACAACAACCCTTGTGATGTCTATTCTGCACCAAGGGTGACAACCGCATGTGTCGCGGGCCGCATAAATCGCGCAGTTCTTCGGTCCCCAATGCTTTAAAAATCTCAGTAACCAATAGAAGCTAAGAGACGATCGCTGGGACAAGAGCTTTATTAGCCTGACGTTTCGGATTCCTGCTCGAACCTGTATCTGCTTTTGTCTCTGATGATGGGTTCGAGCAGGAATCCGAAACGTCAGACCAATAAAGCTCTTGTCCCAGCAATCGTGCCTATTTCAATCCCAGTAACCTCCGATCTGCATTTCTGGCGCTAAGTCTTCGTCTGGGAAAGGGTGCGGGCAAATACCGTTAGCAGTGACGGCTCCAGAGAGCCCAATTGTCAAGTCATTGCCACACTAATAATCAGCGTTGGTGACTCAGTCGCGACAGTTAGTGACTCAGATAAGGACGAGCAAGCAGCCATCGCACTAATTGCGGCTTACTGTGATGCATACAGGAGCTAACATGTGCTTGCTTTGCAACTGCGTCCAGTAAATACTGCACTTGTTACGCGTCTACCATCCTTGTCTGCGACTCACTCTAATGGGGCTTTCGAGTGAGGATCGAACCGCCGACGATGAGATCTCCATCCTGTCAACTGCATCGTAGGACTCATATTTTCGCGTCTGTCCCTAATCTCGCAACCTGTGTGCTGCATGCATTATGCTAGCCGACCGGCTCATTCGGCAAATGTTCTTCGGTCTTAGTGTGCCGTACGTACGACGAAGAGCCGTTTTCACTACTTTACGGGGGTGTTTAATGCAAATATGGATCGAACCAAATATTAAACGACATATTTGATGCAACTGAAGTTGATTTTTGATGCTTTTCTGTTTCAGAACTGCGAAAGTACACCTGTGATATCTGCTGCAAGACCTTTAGGGAAAGGAGGACCGTGAAAACACATATAGACAGTGTTCACAAACGTAGGTTCACACTTCGTTTACCGGTTCACCGTTTGCGTTCTTAAACAAATTCAGTTTTTTGTGACCTTGCGGTCCTTCACAAAGTTTGTTTTCCCCCTGTTTCTTAATGCTACTCGTGATGTACAAGGTTTTCGGGACAAAGGTATGGTATGTAGCCTCCCTGGGAAGACCGTAGTTAGCTACAAACCCAAAGCCTGCAATGAGAACTCTCTAATCCGTAAGCATTTTAGGAAAACTCGGATGTAGACGTAAAGTCAGGCCCTAAAACGCCAACCGCAGCCCCAACCCCAAGTCCGAACCATAGCTCAGTTCTAGCAACCCTAGTATCAAGAATAACCCAACATACACCAATTCTAGCCGCTGCCCAAAGCCTAACCTTGAGCCCACAACGGGCAACTTTAATGTCGATAACACAATTGAAGGTTGAAATCCACTTCCTCCAAAATTGCCTTTGCGATCTACTGCCAGTCAAACCGTAATGAAATACGCCTAACTACGTAAAATAAAAAGATGGGCTTTTGGTCAACCATCTAGGGGGTTACATACCCTACCCCTACCGTTTCGTCCATTGTATGTCTCACGGAATGTGTACACAGCATCGGTAATTTGCAGGTAATTTAGTTTATTGTGAGGCGGCCTTGCGTTACATCTACCTCCTCCACTTACCTTGCTTTGATGGCAAGAACATGTCAAGAAGACTGGAGGTAGGCTCTGGAGTAGTGACTGGGAACGCTGAGCAGCCCGTCTGAGCGTGCCACGCACGGACCGCTTTTTACTACGCGTGCCGGGCCTTTGCGCGTCCGCCACGTCACGGCAATCGCCTTGACAGAGGGCTGTCTCTCTCCCTGCCTGCAAGAACGAGCAACTGTTTTGTGACATGCATAGACTGGGGGATTTGATGGCACCAGCCGCTTTCCTTGATGCCCTCTCCAGGCGACTTGTTTCCAACCTACTACAAGTATCGTATGGGAAGGGATGGGTGGGGAAGCCTATCGTGGGGGAGGTTTTCCGGACTGCGGCCAGTCCATGCCTTATTCATTATGAAGAACCTGATCTGCTGCCGCTCGTATTCTTTATAGGAAATATTCTTCCGGTCCTTCATGATCGTTCTAGAGGTTCATTTGGGACAGTACTTTTAGGGAGTTAAGGACTTAGACGGCCGAGGCAGATTATGATATTTTTCCTTACTGTATGCGTTTTGGTGTGAGATATGTGGCATAGACTTTGTACGAAAGGGAGACATGACGAATCATGGTAGTGCTGTCCACACAAACGTTTTTTCTCCCCAAACTGACCTTTCATTTAAACCGTCTTGCACTTACGTCCTTCATTTTGTGCAGACTTCACGCCATTAATTTTTCCGAAACATGGGTTTTTTTAAATACAGCATTTAACGACGCCCAATGCAGGATACTGCGTGCACAACACACTGTTCCCAAAACAGCTCGCGCTTATTTTTGAGCCACCCTGTGTCCACCATCAGCACGAGATCACCTTTAATCGTTCTAAACTTCACTCCTTTCAGGGCTTCGAGTGTATTCGTGTGAGACTTGTGGCAAGGCCTTTGTGGATAGGGGACATCTGAGGAATCACATCCACGATATTCACAAACGTATGATCTTTTATTCATCTATTTATCCATTCTGTCCTTCGAAGATTTCACAGTTGTTGTCCGTGTGACATTTGTGTTGTCTTCTAAAAAACAATGCCGTGCTTCTGCAGGAGGCAACTCAAATCATGAAATAATAACTGAAATTATGAAATGCGGTTTCCGTCCGAAATATTTGCCTAGGCGGGGTTGTCATATTGATTAGCGTGCAATATAATACCTAGACGTTTTAATCACACCAGTATGACAACATTTTAATGTACGTTTTATCGCCAGCCTACATGAATTGCATTCACTTGGAATGGCTACCTAAGTACTTTGAATTTGTTTATTCATTTGAAATACCATATAAATCCAGACATATTTTGTAAAAAGCATCCACATTTAGCTCGAGCTATGTGACCTGCTGTAAGTCACATGACCCCCGTGAAAGACAGTATGATTTAAATACTTTGCATTTGTACATTCTAAGCTTTCATTGCTCTTCCAGATCCACGTATTAAGATACCAAACAAGCTGGCCACAATAAAGGATCGTAAATTATTGTTTTGGCAGGGTTCACAGCCTCAGATTGCCAAAATCGAGAGATCCAGGATGACAATTTGAAAAATAAGAAGGGATCGTTGAGGCCTTTTTATTTTTTTGAAATCCACAACCCTTCTCGTCCGCCAATTACTAATCGCTACACCATCACCCATATGGGCTCTATTCTAAAGCTTGAAGGCCAGAGAACTCTCATTTCCGCCCTGCGTTCAGGACAGATCAATTAACCCAACTCCCGCTTGACTTGGAAAGTAGAGATCCAAATGTAGCTCCTTGCCCAAAGCAGTCATTTTGCAGCCAATCTGTTTCTTCTTTCATTTTTAATGATTGAAATCAGGTTTTTGAAACATTGACCTATATAACGTTATTAAGTCGGCGTAGTTTAGCTAAGTCATACCTATTTCTATCGATTATTCCTCATTAGCTGTGATTTCTCAGAACGAGGGTGGCTGGGTGAGCCGGACGGGCAGCGTAGTCTTTGCAGCGTCTATTCGCTCGAGAGAGAGAGGGGGGGGGAGTGGATTAGAGTGTTCGAATTAGAGGAGCACGCTCATTTCCACAAGCCCACAGGGAGAGGTGGGCGTGTGGGGCGAACTTGATGACATCTTCCTCCCAGAAGTCGCAGTTTCGCTTATATCGACGATGACTTAGTAGTCCGCCGAATTTCCTCGAAACGGATGCTGGGGAAAGAGCTTCTTCCTCTCAACCATACACCCCTTCAATTCCGATAATTTTCCGGCGTCCATTAACTCAGAACTCGTTTTTTAGGAGGCAGGCCTCTCCCTTTAACGCGTCCTTCCAGCCCTGTCGGCCTTCCAGTGAAAGTTTGTGTATTGCCTTGTGCCAGTACTTACTTTTACTTGGTACGGCTGCGATCATGCCTGATCTAGCCGGCCTAGATGATGTCCCGAACTGCACTTCCCCACGCGTGACGATCCGCGGCAGCAGATCTGGACAGTTCAACCCATTCTCTTCGCCAACGACGCAGACTGAATACCGAAGGTCCAAGAACCACCTCCATCTCTTGACGAATTGTCCCGAGCCAAGTTTTAAGTTGGCCCCCTCTTCGGCGCCTCCAGTGGGGTGATGATGCCGGATCGAGGGTAGTAACACTGAGCTCCTGAGGAGGACGACGAAGAACATGCCCAAACCACCTTAGTTGTCTTTCTTGGGTGGCCTGAGTTATCCTTGCGATATTGTCGCAGCGAGCGCGGACTACTTCATTTGAAACAAAGTCGGTGCACTTCACTCGACAGGTAGTCTTCAATCAGTGGTGGTCAAATACGTCCAGTTTTCGCTCGTCATCCACGCGCACAGCGCAGCATTCACAACCATAGAGAAGGATACACTGGATAGACGTATGCTACACGCAAATCTTAGTAGCGATGGGGAGATCGCGTCCGATCCGTAGGCATTTTCTAAGGATCGAAAAAATCCGCTGGACAGCATCAGTTGTATCTCGGCACCTCAGACTCGTCGCTTCGTTGAGCGGTAGGGGAGAGTAAGCTAGTGTCTGTCACCTAGTAGGAGGTTTTCGTGCGTACTACGACATTTGATTGTTCTTCAGATCGAAGTTTTGGACTTTATGATAAATAAGTGATTTTTCATTTATTTTTCAGAACTGCGAGAGTTTACATGTGAAATTTGTGACAAATCTTTTGCTCGGAAAGGAAGCCTAACGAGTCATGTAGATGTCATCCACAAACGTACGCTTGCTTCCTAACATTTATTCCTCTGTGAAATTCCGCCTTTTATCTCGTACGCATTTGTTCGTTAACGCTTTTGCGCGCTTATTCTTAAGTACTCCTTTTTACTATAATTTGCCTGCGAAGGGTTGCGCGGGTGCTTAGAGTGAATGGCCACCCGCGCAACTTCGTCAACCAGTGCCTACGTAAACGAGGCGAGAGACAAAATTCAACCGGCCCCAAATTTTAGCCACCTGTCTCATACGTGAAAAATGGCTCGGAAGCCGCCAGCCGCCTCTTTACGCTCCTTGGAATTAGAGTTGCACACAGACCGGAAGCAACCATAAGGCGCCAGATCATGAGGCCGGAAGACCCACTGCCACGGCAGGAAACATCTGGAGTCGTTCTCCGAGTCTGGTGCAGTTGCGGGCAAAACAACTATGTCGGACAAACCGGAAGAGTACTCCGGACGCAGTTGGCCGAGCACGCGGTAGCAGGGCGGAGGAATGACGCCAACTCTCAAGTCTTGGCGCGTTCGACGGGACCCAATCACACATTTAAGTTTGACGAAGCATAGATTCTTGCCGGATGCGACAACCGCGTGAGGCGTGAACTGCCCGAGTCATGGCTTTCTGGTCCTCATTTAATCAACAAGCACAACGGCCTCTTTGCTTAATATTCGTCGCTAAGACTTAGCCTAAGCAAAGTAGTTAGCCGCGAGGAGAACGAGACGGTATCAATGTCGGTGTGCCAAATCACCCAGGAGTCCACATGGATGACGAAATCCTGTAGTCAGCCCCTCGGTGGCGTGCGACGAGCGTGGGAGCCGAAAATCTGTACAGGCATACAGGTGCATGGCAACAGCATACTTCAACACCTGGCCAGTCGAGCTGTGATGCACTCGAGAGCTGCCAACTGTGATAGGCATGTAGCGGTCCAGCAACTACATCCTATGAATATTGCATCACCTGGGCAATCCACTACCCTTATCTTAATCTGTCCCTGATAATGAGTTCGAGTGAGAATAGGAAACGTCAGGCTAATAAAGCACGTGTTCCAACGATCGTGTCTCCTTCTTCGCAACCTTTTCCTGGAACTCGCCTCTTCGTTTCTATTAGCACAATGATCATAGCTGTTTTAACTAAGTAAATTAGTTTGGATAGATTTTAAATTTTCGAGGTGACTTTAAACGTTTCATTTTGGCTTTAGTCGCTTGGAACGCCGAAAGTAAATTGGGGATTAGCTGATGTCGGAGAAATAGGGACAACCGCAACGTTTTTGTTCCAATGTGACCGGAATTTCGCCTATTAGAAACAATTTTAGGTTTTAAGTAGCTCCTTGCGTCCTAAGAATGCTGTCGTTTCATGTGATGGCAATTGTTTGCTACCGGTTGCTGGCGGAACTCTTCATCAGTAAAGCCAAAATTCCCGCTTAGCGGTGCTCAATATGGCTTTGCTCTCGCGTGGGCTTTTTGGACTTGATCTGGTATGCAACTTGAAATGTCGCAAGTCCCCCCCCCCCTATTTCTGGACGCGTCGAGTGCCACCACCAGCGAATAAACTGTCTGGGATTAAGAAAGCTGGTTGTTGACAAGTTTCAGACATGGATAGCAAATTAAGCACTCCTGATGAGGCACGCAAGATTCTAATCCCAAGTTATCCAGATCTGGGGTCGGATGTGGACGATGAAGGACGATCAGCACGCCGCAAATTGCCATCCCCCAGTTTCCCTGATCTTTGTCGGTAATTCTTGTCGCATATCGTACTACCGGTCGCTGTACGATTGTCTGCAAGGGCTCTGGATTGTGCCGCAGGGCGTAGTATGGCGAGCATGTCCCCTAACCCGATTAGTTAATGCCCTCCCGCTACTGTTTTGTTAATTTAAGCCCTTTGCTTTCTGTCTCAGAATTACGAGAATATGCGTGCGAACTCTGTGGCAAGGCGTTTGCTGCGAGAGGACATCTGACCAAGCACATTGACGGTTTCCATAAACGTACGTCTTCTGCCTTCAGTAAATTTATTCATCTATCGATATGTTCGCCACCGGGTTGTTCTATGTGCTCTTATGCAGAAATGGTGTGTTTTTTGCTAATTTCTCTAAGCTTGCGCGCACATTTTTCGTGGGAGAGGAGTAATTATACATCCGATAGTGTTTTTTCGGCCGTTAATAGCTTTTTCAGTAGTACTCGGATGTGGGTTTTTGAATTTTAGACAGCCGTTGCGTGAAATAATCTAGTAAATCTCGAGTTATATGAGTTGTGGTTGAATGTAAAATTTGAACTCTGGGCGAACAGTGAATCTTCACTTGGTAAATTTGCTGTGATGCAGTGATCAATTAATCGAAGAAAATGGTGATGCCTAATTGTTTCGTGGTTTGAAGCCTGAATCGATAACTTCAAAACCACAACTGAATTATATTAGCGTTTATCGCATTCACATTGTGGTTTGGTGACAGATCTGAGGATTCCATACGATATCTGAGCAAACATCCAGTGGAAGAGGATTGGTATTTTCTCTGCCGTCTTATGATGCCCTGGTGAGTGCCAATGCTTTGGTGGCGCAGAGGAAATACGCCAACAAAAGCTGTTGAACCTATTCAGTAGTCCAACGCCCCCTGTGGCGCTCCGCAAGCGTCATTTTTCAATTCATTTCGAGCCCATCCTGCTTATCCGTGACCCATTCTATATTTCTAACTGCACTACAAAGTAGCCGTAAGCCGGTTGCGCATCTTCTCAAACGACTAACTCGGTGGCCAGTTCGTTTCGGAGTTGCGCACTAGCCTCAGAAAAAACCATGACGATAAATTAGTCAAAGTACACCGAGACATTTCGCAACTGCTTCTAGACTATTCGCATGCGCTTGTAATCCCCGGAGATGGTAAAACGACAGGCTGCCCATTGGCTCTGTTACTGTGTTTTGGGGCACAAATTAGCGCGCAGAGTTGCAAATCAGGACGTTTTGGAAAGAGAGGGTCTAAGTTTTTTTTCCAATCAACGCGTGGCCATTAACACCTTGCCCTAACATCTCACTTTTCACCGACTGAAAATCGGACTCTTAGGCTAACGAAGTTTGTTTTGGTGAAAGTTTCTCACTTAGATTAGCGTTCTCCACCTGAGACGCAGACACAAATTCGCAGATGTAGTCTACGATGGTTATTACCACAAGGATCCGCTTGAATACAAGGAAGAGTCGGTCGTAACCCACAATGTTCACCTTCTCATGCCTGTGATAACTTGAAAACAAATTCCGGATGACATTCTTTTCTGAATGTTACTTGGGACCTCCAAGCGTAAATACCCACCAAGTTTTATGGGATGTTGATTAAGATAAGCCTTATTTTGCAATCGAGAGACCTCGTCTCCAATCATAAAATTCGAAGAAGACGCGATTTTTTACGAAGTTAAATATGAAATAACTGTTGTTGTTGTTTCTTAAACGTCATCGGAAATCTATAGAAAAACTTCGCTCCACTTAAGTTGCCACCACTTGTCGGGTACGACGCTCTCGTATATGTCTGTAGTGGGATTGTAAGACTGATCATCATGCAGCGTACTCCTAAAATATTTCACGCTATGATCCCGACCTTTCAGTGAACATCTTTCCAGATATCAGCAAAAACAACACCACCCGAAAACTACCGCTTCGGCACTATGGGTTTTTTTGTCGAATTTGAATAACCCTTTTTCTAAATCTAAGCGTATCTCATAGAAAGCATGCACAAAAATAAACTTTCGTATTATGTAGTAAATTACGTCATTTTAACGTGTGTCATCAAAAAAGGTGTCTTTTGGTGTAACAACGTTTGTGTGTATGGGACATTGGGAACTGCCAACTGTCTTCGACTTTCGTTCTATCTTCCCAATCATTAGTGCCGGAAGAAGGTAAGGCGATCTCTGGGGAGGATGATTTAATCATCTGACGTTTCGTACTCGTACTCGAGCACATCATCGGAGCCAGGCCAAATGTGGAATACATGGTTTAAATAGGCCATTCGCGCTCGCGCCTGATAGGTCGATCCCGCTCTCCCCCTATTGGCCCTCTCGTCCGCAAGTGGGGCCTGATGACCTCGTATGGCGCTGGTAGGTCAATACTGCGGTTGATCGAGCTGACGTCTGATTGCCAGGCTTCGATTACTTCTCTCGCCAGCTTGTTTTCGGCTCGGTCGAGCACTTGGGCACCGTGAAAATCGAACACGTTATTATTTTCTAGACTGCGCATGGCGACGTGCGAGCGTACACCCTTTCGCTTTATGGCTAAGGCGTACTCATGCACGCGCGTGCGCAGTCGTTTGTCCGTCATGCCGCAGTAGTTGGCCAGACAGTCTAGACATTCGACGTCGTAAATGACGCCTGACGTGTCTGCAGGTAGTAGCGGCGGTTGGTGGTCTCCGGTCGGTGTCCAACGCCCACGCTTAGTGGCCTTAGCATGCGCTTAGTGCCTTCGGAGACGTTTCTCACGTAAGGCAGAACGCAGAACATTTTAGGTCTTTGTGTGTTCTCAGGGTCGGCGCTCGTATGTCTTTGGTATAAGCATTTGTTTACAAAACTGTGCGGATATCCATTGGCAAGGAAGAGGTGCCATAGGATTTCACGCTCCCGCAGCTTCTCGGCTTCTGTGCTACAGCGTGTGCTGATGCGACGAAAGTGTCCGGGCGCAGCTGCGTTTATGCGACAGGGGATGGTTGCTGTTGTAGTGAAGAATTTTCTCCGTGTCTGTCGCTTTTCGAAAGACCCCAGTCTGGAGGGTTCCGTCTTTTTTTCTCGTTACCTGAACGTCGAGGAAAGGAAGCACTCCGTCTATTTCTTCCTTCATGGGCCTTGATGGGACCCCGACGGGTCTTTAATAAAAAATTATTATTATTAATTGAATTTGTGGGAAAACCGAGTTAAATTTTCCTCTAAAGTTGTCTTTCGCGTCTCGATGTAGGATGACAAAGGTATCGTCTACGTAGCGCATCCAGAACTTCGGCTTGTAGGACTGAAAGACTCGAGCTTCCAGTTCCTGCATGACCGCCTCAGCCAATTAGCCGGAAATCGGGGGTTCCCTGGATTTGCTCGTAAATTTGACCATTAAAAGTGAAGTACGTGCGCAGGCAATAGTCCAATAGTTCCACCACGTGCTTCCTCTTAAACGGTTTCCCCTCTTTGTCGTGCTTTCTCTCCAGTAGGTCATTGATGACTTTCATAGCAAATTCTTTTGGAATGGAGGTGAATAGAGAGACGACATCAAGGGATACCATTACCTCGTCGGGGGCTATTATAACTCCTTTGAGTGTTTCCAGGAAGTGTATTGAAGATACGGCTGTGTGTTCTGGGCTGTAAGTGTGTGTGACTGTCCTCAGAGTGTCGGGACGGCGTGCGATCACCGCCTGGAGTCGGCCAGGGCAGACATACTGCTTGTGTCAGCGTCTTCTGACAACAGAGTGCCGGGTTCGCTAGTCAAATGGCCACTGCTTCGGTTGTGGCTAGCATCCGTTTGCACAGGCCTTTAGAGTACAGTAGATGTGCTAACTCATGAAATGTCAACCAAGATTTCGAAATGCGTTCTCGTTTCGAAAAGATAAATTAAGTAGTGTTGTAAAACTAATCATGATGCAGCATAAATCGATAATGATCCAGTTACCTCAGGGTGTCGGCTTTCGAAAGAACTTATTTTCGGCTGCATGCAAGATCTATACTCTGCAAAAAATGACTACTTAATTAGAATGCATTTTCTCATTGATTTTCGATGCCCTTGAAAATTCAATCGTATTTCTTGGAAAACATGCACAAAAATATTCATTCTTTTACTTGTTCGGTAGAAAATCACGTCTTCTTCCAATTTCATACTCAAAATAAGAGTATAATTCGGTTTTAAAAAAGTTTCTAATTGTGAGATTTTTTAATACGGTTAAGTGTCCGTTCATAAAACGTCATGTATCTGCATTTACAAATGCGGCTTGTGAAGTTAACAATATAACATTCATTTCTCTACGGTGTAAAGAGGAGACCATATAAAGTTCATAAAATTAAGCAGTGGATTGGAGCAATATTGTTAACTTTACAAGCCACATTCGTAAATGCAGAAACATGACGTTTCATGAACGGCCATTTAGCGGTATTAAAAAATTTCACAATTAGAAACTTTTTTAAAACCGAATTATACTCTTCTTTTGAGTATGAATTTGAAAGAAGCCGTGATTTTCTACTGAACAAGTAAAAGAATGAATATTTTTGTGCATGTTTTCCAAGAAATACGATTGAATTTTCAAGGGCATCGAAAATCAATGAGAAAATTTCATGCTACATAATTAGTCATTTTTTGCAGAGTATAGATCTTGCATGCAGCCGAAAATAAGTTCTTTCGAAAGCCGACACCCTGAGGTAACTGGATCATTATCGATTTATGCTGCATCATGATTAGTTTTACAACACTACTTAATTTATCCTTTCGAAACGAGAACGCATTTCGAAATTTTGGTTGACATTTCATGAGTTAGCACATCTACTGTAGTATGCAGGAGCCCGGTAGATGACTTTAAAGGCTTCTTTGGCGTCGGCTTGGTGCTTCGTATCGATTATATGTGTGAGAATTGAAATCGAAATCGATCGATGTTCACCTCTACCTAGCCAGGCAGGCATGTGTTCACCTATTCTCTTTTCCAGACGCCTCGTTGTACGGCCAATATATCCCCCTCCACAGGAGCAGGTGAATGTAGTAGGGGGAATTTGCGAAGAATACGCGCAAGTTCGCCGCGGGGAAGGCACTCGCGAGAGCTGTCCTGAGACGTCTCACTAATTCGCTTGCTGCGTCTCCTAGAAAGTTAGTCTTAGAACTAAGTCTTTCTTCTCTGCAGTTGCAACGGCAGGTTTTGTGGCACGCTCTCTAATATTCCGGAGGATGAATCGCTCTGGATAGCCGTTTTCGTGGAGCATGCTTTGCAGCTGCTGGAGTTCTGCTTCAACAGTTTCAGGAGAGCAGATGCGTCGCACTCTAGCCGCCAGTCCCTGGACTAAATTTAGTTTTAGATTTAGGGGAACAAAATTGAAAATTAATGTATTGTCCCGTCCAAGTTTTCTTTCTGAATATCTTTCTTGGATGAATCCATCCTCTTGTTTGTGTAGAAGGACATCGAGGAACACGATCTCGTTATTCGCCTCGGTCTCTGTGGTAAACATCAGATAGGGGTGCGCCCCGTTAAACTTCTGAACTAGGCCATTGATGTCGGTGGTATGGCTCGTCAGGCAAAAGATCTCCTCCACATATCGAACGTAGAATTTAAGGTCATTAATGGGATCTTAGATACTCGTTTGCTCGACTTTGCCCATGAAGACATTTGTGAGAAACGATCCAAGCGGTGAACCCACTGCCACACCGTCTATTTGCCTGTATAGCTGGCCGTTGCAGAGCAACTGGACATTCTGTGTGCATCGCGCAAGTAGTCCTTTTAGGGTCTTCACTGCCATGCCTATCGGGTAATTTGTTTCCCTGATGAAGTCGTCCAGGAAGTCTGTTGTCTCCACTACGGGTGCGTTGGTGAACAGTGATGTTACGTCTAACGAGAGCATCGTTTGTCCGTCCACGTTAACGTTCTTGATAGCCTCGACAAACTCAAAGGTGTCCTCCAAACTTCGCGGATACAGACAACTTTGAAGACGCATTTATATCCTGCCTACAATTAGAATGATCATTATCCATGTAAATGTATCGGCCAGATGATGCGTTACTGAAAACATATGTCCTTGAAATGTCGACGAATACTTGACGGTTTTCACTTTCCCCAATTGACTGCTCACAAATATAGGTTCTATGCTATATGTTCATCAGAGCCTTTAAGGTAAGATATTTCTCGAAAGTTTTTACGGAAATAATGGGTTCTGGGACATTCTTTTTATGTAGCTGACCGTCTGGTCATATCTGTAGACGCCACCAACCAGCAAACCTCATCGCCGAGAAAAATCAACCTCCACAATGAGATTCAGCAATGATAGTGCCCTGAATTAGGTCACATACTGCATATCCTATTCAGCATACGAACGTACTTTAGTAAGCCTTTTTCCCTTGATGGTTTGATGTTTTTCCACTGTTTGCTGACTTAAGCCGGGATTGGCAAATTTAACCGGAGCCTGTTTTACGAAAACATAACTTCATTTACAATCGTAGACCTACGTTCTGTTATTCCCTTTTATCAGAACTGCGAAAATACGCCTGCGAGCTTTGCGGGAAGGCCTTTGCGCAAAACTGTCAACTAAAGAGGCACATTGACAGCGTCCACAAAGGTACAGCTTCTCTGTCCCGCCAGCCTACTGTTTTTGTCTCTAAAAAAACTCCATTTCCTTCTGTTGTGTTTCATGTCTTATGTGTTTCCCTTGAAAAACTACCGTGTCCAAAAATATTGATCTCCAATTGGGAAAAGCGTTGTTCCAACTTTTTTTGCAAAATTTGCATTAAAGATTCCTGAAAAGACATGCTTTGGCAATAAAGTCGACTCCGATCACTTCTGTTTTAGAAATTCGAAGGTACACATGCGAGATCTGTGGCAGAGCCTTTAAAGAAAATGGAACCATGAAAAAGCACATTGATATTGTCCATAAAGGTAGGTTTGCTTTTATCTCAAGGGTTTGCCGCTTCTGTTTTCTTTCGTGTGTGCAGTTGAAGGTCATCTGGTGATATGTTCAATCGTGAAGCAGACACGATCGCTGCTACTAGGGATTTATTTGCCTGTCGTTTCGGATTCCTGCTCGAAATCATCATCAGAAACAGTAGCAGGTACGGGTGGTTCATGCACAAGGGGCTGCAGTATTTACAGGATACATTCGCCCTGCTACCGCATACCTATGAACATTTACGCCTCCCCCCCCCTTCATCAGGGATCGTTGCACTTGCTGTGATAGCCGACATTCGCGTCGTTAATTGCTGCAATTTCATCACGTGCATTGGATGTTGATGCCATGATTGCTCGACCACCTGACCCACTAACCTCGGCGTTGGGAGCAGTGTTCGTCCCTACGCACCCCGCTTGGGTAATTACTCCACCTCGGCGAGGTCTCAGCACCCAGTGTGTTGGGCCTTTTGATTTTAGCGGGCTCGGTACAAAAATTGATATGAATATATGACCTGAACTCAATCAGCTATTGCGAAGTAAGCGCGTAAATTCGCAACCTCCCAGTAGGCAGTTAACAGTATACAGATGTTGCCTAATCCACCACAGGCATCAGGCCAGGCACGTGTTTCGACGATTTTGTCTCTGCCACGGGTGATTCGACTCATCAGCAAATTCCCTAGCGGTTCCAATGTTTAGCTTTCGGGCAGATGCTCCATTTTTGACATTTCAGACTTTTAAATCTCGTCGGAAATTAATATGCTGGCATGGGGTAAATCTTCCAGGGCAAACTTCTACATGCTGGCTCCGAAAGTTGATATGAATATTTGTGTCGAAATCCACCAGACTTAGCAAAATATGTGCCGCCAAAAGGCCGTCAACAGTATACAGGTGTTGATTTATTTAGTGTACATCGGACCACATGTCTGACCGTTTGGCTGGTACACCTGCGGACAGTATTGTGAACCATTTCACCGGCCATATATTCAGTCAGACGGAAGAAAACGTTGATTGGGCTTTCCGGCAGGTTTGTTGTTTCTAACCTGTATACATTGTGTAGCCGTCTTTTCGATATAACCGAGAATCTTTGTTGAAGAAATACCGATCATAGTCAGTTTGTACCGACCAGACGTCTTTACTGTTACCGACTGAGTGATGCAGGCTTGCGCACATGCTCCAGTCAACGTTGGCCTCATAGCCACCTCAGTTTTATCGGTCAACTCTCAAATAGCGAAGAAAACTCTTCAACGTCCGATAAGTGCGCGTCTGAAGGATGCATGATTGTTCGTTCATTGGGCGACCATGCCGAGTTGCAACATTGTTCAAGCTCTAGAAACGATAATTTTGGATTTACTATCAATACTTGAAGAACCGTCCTTGTGTGTGTCAACCTTCAGCAGCTAGCAAAGGCCTGGAACCCACAGTCGCTGTCGACTGCCGTTGTCTGACCGTTAATCAGAAGTTGACCATTTTAGGGGAAAGTTCATCTCCCGGAAAGGTAGCAGTTGATGCCAAAATCGCAGGCCGAATTTTCAGTGATGTTTGTGGGATGCAGTGAGGATGCACCACACTTCCGTCCCACTATAAACTAATTCATGCGCGTCACCGTTGCTGCACGGACAGCCAACAAATTTCCGTTAGAAGTCCACGCCTCTAACCAATTGGCCACGAGCCTGTTGCCCTATCGGTTTTCAATCGGGAATATACAATGGTAGGGGGCGCTCACCGATCTTTCTTACGGAACTCACTCGTTTCGTTGTGCCTTACGGGCTCTCTCTCTCTCGAGTCCAACCAGCAGCCGCACAGCGGCGCATGATATAGGCAGTATGTCATTACCGACAAAGTCAAGGGAAACTGGAATGGCCATTTCTGGCTTATTAGCCGTCTTCAGCTAGCCATACCCAACCCCAAAGTGTGAAACACCCGAGGCTCGAACTCGCGACCTGTTAGCTAGAAGTCCACGCCTCTAACCACTGGGCCACGAGCCCGTTGCCCTGTCGGTTTTCGATCGGTTTCCGTCTCAAGACGGACTCTTGCCAGAAAGTGGCATAACCGCCTAATCTGTCAGGAGGCCGCTCGTGCAGTTGGCTTTTTGAAAGGCGAGCTTCTTTTAGCTCGCGCTTCTTACTACATCTACATTGAGAGTACCTGCTGCTCATTAAAAGCCCAGTCTTTGTCTGCATGTCCGGAGCCTGCCTGGTGCACTTGTAATCTTTCACTTGCAACTTGCCGCGCAGATATTTGACATCGCTGTTGGATAATTGAAACGGAATCTTAAAAAAGAGGATTGAAAGATTAACTCCAAGTTCGCGCATTAATTTCCTCGGAAATTAAACAAGGCAAGTTGAAACTGGAGTTCATATACCAGAAAACACACGGGGAAAGCTGGGGGGACCCACCGACGAGCCGAACCCCTCGCAGCTGCGTCAGGCAGCGGCATAAGATCGGCGAAACAGGCGTGTCTGGGCTTTTAGCTAATACCTGTGTTGTTAGTACGGTAAATCATTGCACAGTTCTATACTACCGGCTGTCTGTAGGCGGTTTGTGAATATTAAGCGGTTATTCCACAGTAGCTGCTGGATTTCAGCTCAAATATTCATATCAAACTTTGGACCGTGCCTTAAAAGGCCCGTTTCGAAAGATTTACTCCAAGTTCGCCCATTAATTTCCTCGGAAATTAAACAAGTCAAGATTGAATTTTCACTATCCATGCGTCCCATTAACGGGTTGTAATCATGCTTTCACGACTGAGGCCTCATAAATTACTGATTTATTGCCTTTTGTACCGTGAACACCTTAGATGTCATGGACTTGATGCATTGGTTGCTTTACCGTATGCGGGTAAAATTCCCAGCAGTCGCTGCTGTAATTTCTGAGAATTTGTGAAATTCCCCTTGTTTTGACATAAGTAAATACTCGATTCTGTTTCACTATCTTGGAATGTCATTTTGCGCTTGTAACATCCTCCTCAATCGATCGATCTATTTTTCTCTTTATTTTAGAACTCCGAGAGTACTCGTGTGGGTTTTGTGGCAAAGCCTTTTCCCGGAATTTCTGCCTGAAAACACATATCGACTTGGTTCACAAAGGTATGCCTGTCACTTTTCTGTCCTCTAGTCTGCCCCATCAGCTCTCACTGTTTCGCGGGTTGGGCGGAAAAAAGGGGGAGGGCAGTAGCCAGACCATATAGAAATGCGATTGGGGTGGGCGGTAGGAATGTGTCCAGGCATGTGCGTGAGGTTTATGAATTGTCAAAGGACATGTCCGCGTGATAGATCAGTTAACAACTGCAGTCTATCCGCCCCACTAAGTTAAAGTACAGAAGAGGGTGTGGAAGAGAAGAAGATAATGGTAGAGGGCGCCCACCGATCGTTCTTACGGAAATCACTGGTTCCGCTGTGTCTTACTGGCTCTCTCTCAAGCCCAGCCAGCAGCCGCACAGCGGCGCATGATATAGACAGAAGGGCATTACCGACAAAGACAAGGGAGACTGGAAGATAGTTAACACCAAGCCTCTTTTCTAGAAGGGTTTTGCCGTTCTCCACTCTGAACCGTCGTCTCAGAAGCGGGCCCCTACATTCAGGTCTTTAGCGAACTTCAAACGGTTCCCTCGGCAGATAGGTGCACTGTCTCCTGTGTTTCGTGGGTGTTTTTGGTGTCCGACGGTTTCCGACTGCTCGCCTATAAACTTTACGTTTACCTTACCACCATGCATCTTTCTTGCCGTTACCAAATGTAGAGGAGCTTCTAGTGCGCGCAGTATGCCTAAATTAGCCATTCTTTAATCACAGTTGCAGTCTGTGGCCAGTGACGAGCGCCTCTCGTGGGAGAAACTGTTGTAAACTGTGCATTCAACGCGAAATATTCGGAACTAGATACGGGAATTGTGTGCTGCCTCTACGGCCATTTTTCTGTTGACAGACTGCTGTTGAATAGTTGGGGGCGGGCAGAATGTTGATTGGCGGCTGCTATTGGGCGCAAAATGGTCCCCAAGTGTTCTTAGTCCCCGGCAGGTTCAATCTAAGAGCGGCAGCCGCTTCTGAGATTTCTGATAACTCGTGAAATTCCCCTTGTTTTGACATACGTAAATACTGGAAAAACCGAGCGATCAACCGCGTTTTGAAGGGATTTTTTTCTGATAGCTGTCGCACTATATCGATCTGATTTGCCCGTCCGTTGTGAAGGCCAGCGTATGCGGCTTTCAGGGCATCAGCCAGAGAATCTCGTGATCTTATGCTCATAGCTAACGATTATTACTAAGCCGCCGGCGCCCTCGAAGCATTTATGGCCTCGGCAATTTATCGCGCAAGCTATCCTTCATACTTTCTGAGAGAGAGAGAGAGAGAGAGAGAGAGAGAGAGAGAGAGAGAGAGAGAGATAGCGATTAAAGGGGGGTGTGAATTCTGTGGAAAATACTGGCGGCTTTCAGTGCTTTTATTCTGGCGACGATTCCTCAGGAAATCACCGAGCCTCTCCTATCTTTTTCCATGTTTCTAATCCACTCTTTGCTTCCTTCGCCTGTGCAAAATATCCACGTTCTTTTGAGAAAACATTGCCGACAGAGATTAGGTGCATCAGTGGCCGTTGCTGGTCTACTGCGAACCATCAACCAGAGATGCTCCATCCGCTAGTCTCGGTCCAACCGAATCCAGTGGGTTCAGGTTAAACGTCCACTCCACTATTGGGTTTGCTGGTTCGCATAAATTATCATAGTAAGGGGTGAAATCGCTCGTCCTGCAGCTTCTGGTGGTCTCTTGACACTTCACGCAGCATTTTGCCCTTGGGAGATATTTACAGCACACGTGGGAACCCTGCCGACGGCCACAAACGCGAATGCACGAGCATAAGTTGGCCGTTGGGTTAGACCCAAAATCGGAAGTAGCAACCCATGCTGCGCAAATGTGACCCATCTTCATCTTTGAGGCTGTTCAGATTGTGGGCCGGGACGATGATCATACGGCAAGGCAGGTTCAAGAAGCCTGGATGTCCACCGACTGCTCTGGCAACCGCCACATCAATTTGCCTCTCCCTATCTGCACATTTACCTGACTTTATAAATTTATTTTAGACTCCGCGGAAGACTGACTGTTGTTACGCCTTGCTGGTGGCCAACTCTGCCCGTATTTACGTTCACGTACAGTGTTTTCTGACGCATTTATGGTTTTGTATTCTCAAGAAATGTTCTTTGTTGTTTTATTTTTTACCAAGACAATCTGGTTGAAGACGATTAAAGCCACTTACTTCTACCTTTTTTTATTTCTGCTGTTGTTGTAGCTGGGTTACAATTTAAACAAGTGCTAAAGCACTGCGCATGTGGGAATTTTTAGTCACGAAAGTTAATGCATGCCAGCTTACAAATACTGGCTGGAGATGAGCGAAACCTTGAGATGTTCTACTACCATTTTCCGAGTGAATTTCACCGACTTCGTCTCAAGTGGGATAGTCCGCACTCGCTTCGATAACATCGCTAAAATATCTGATTTTGGTAAGGATCGGGTGAAGACCTTCAAGCATCTGTGGCATACAAAGAATACCTTCTATATTTATTTAAGTGGGTTTTAATCGGACACAATTATTTCGGTTTGGTGTTTCATCGTACAAGGTTGGGTCGTCTGTCGTAAACGGTCTGATGCATTATCTACAATAAGCTCAACTCAGAGATTTCAGAAGCGGTCGTTGTATGTACCTAGTGTTTTTTTTCAATTGTCCTGTTTAATTTCGGTTGCTATATGTCAATGTATCAAAACTTTTCCACCCGTAAAACGAATTTACCAACTATCTATACTTATTTTGCCAATCCTCTATGCATGTATAGGGCCCGCCAGTAAAACCCGTATCACCACCTTTCTCGTAAGACAGGCGCCCTTGGCTGGTCATGCGTCTTGGGTCCTTCACCTGATCGCTGCCCTGATTTTCATCTAGGAAGGACGACTGACGTGATTTGGGTATGTTCTTCGTCACCCATCTGATGAGCTCATCGTTGTTGTCCTCGATCCTGTGCTGTTGGCCACCTGGAGACCCTGAGGAGGATGTCAACTCGGGGCCTGGATCAAAAGAGTTCGTCAAGACACGGCAGTGGCCTTTGGACCTCCTGTGTGCGGTCTCCGTCTCTGGATGAGAGGATGGGTACTTACTTGTACTTGATACGGCTGCGATCATGCCTGATCTAGCCGACCTTGATGATGTCCCGAACTGTACCTATCCACGCGTGACGATCCGCGGCAGCAGATCTGGACAGCTCAACCCATTCCCTTAGCCAACGACGGAGACCGAATACCGAAGGTCCAAGAACCACTTCCATGTCTTGACGAACTGTGTCGAGCCAGGTTTTGAACTGACTCCCTCTTCGACGCCTCCAATGGGGTAACGGTGCCGGATCGAGGGCAGTAACACTGAGCTCCTGAGGTGGACGACGAAGAACATGCCCGAACCACCTCAGTCGTCATTCTTGGATGGCCTGAGTTATCCTTGCGATGTCGCAGCGAGCGCGAACTGTCTCATTTGAGACGAAGTCTGTGACCTTCACTTGAAGGATGGTCCTCAAGCAGTGGTGGTCAAATACCTCCCATTTTCGCACGTCCTCCACGCGCAAAGCCCAGCATTCACAACCGTAAACAAGGTCAGACCGGACAGATGCCTGGTACACGGGAATCTTAGTGGCGGTGGAGAGGTCATGTCGGATCCATAGGCATTTTCGAAGGCTTGAGAAAACCCAGCGGGCAGCATCGATTCGGGAGTTAATGTCGTCCTTACTCGGTCTATTGGGCAGCAGCCTCGCCCTGAGGTATTTAAACTGTCTACTTCAAGTTAACAGCCATCAATCCTGGGGGGTGTCTTCTCCTGGTCAGGGATGCAGCTTGAAAACGCCCTAGTCTTCTCAGCGTTTATGGATAAACCGACTGATTTAGAGGATGGGTAGAGTTCTCCAGATCCGCCGCTGCAGATCGTCTCGCATGGAGAGCTGCAATTTGCGATATCGATGTCGGTTAGATCAGCTATGATCACAATTAGGAATGTATGTCGGTCTTTAAGTGAAGCCGCAGCAAAATTTGGACGATATTCACCCGGTACAGCGGATTCGGGTAAGAGATGTTTGCGGGCGATACGAGTTAGTTAAGGGGCGTGATTGGCCGTTGGGGGCGTATGAGGGTCAACTCTATCAGCCATTTGGAGGCATTTGTTTGCGGTCCCCGATTGGTGAGAACTGCCGGATGGTAGTGGCTTATACCAACGGTGTGGAGGAGTGCGCTTAAAGCTAAGGTCGAAGTACATCTGCTGCAGTTAGGCCATCGCGTAATATTCGCAAGCTGTCAACAGGCGGCAGTATGCAATTATTTCATGGTTCACTCTACTAACAGCACAGTTATTATATAAAGGTCGAAGCACATGGTTCGCTGATCCTCCGCCGGTGCCGCTTGGCTCATTACCGGGTCCCGTCAACGTTTTCCATTTGCAGCTTTCTGGCAGATGCTCCATTTCTAGAAATCTCGGTAGGACTAAATTATATGGCCCCTTAAACCGGACATGAGAACAGAAGCCGCCTACAATACGGGTGGTTTGGAGCCAACTTTCAGTGTAATTAGGGCTAGATTTGAGGCTTGACTCAGACTTTAGGGTTAGGGTAGGATTAGGGCAACGGTTTGGTCTCCTTATGTTAGGGTTATGGTTGAGATCAAGACGCAGGAGTATTTCGCCCTTTCCGGCCTTATGCGCAGGTCCAACTTTATCACCTGGGCGGGACACACCTATTCTCATGTCCTGTTTAGAGGCCACGTAAGTCAGCCCCACCGAAATGTCGTCTAATCTCACCGGAGATTCGTGTGCCAACATGAAGTTCATCTTTCGGGAGAAGGCCTTCCAGGCTCAGTCCGAAGGTTGTGATGACTACTGAGCCGAAATCTACCAGCCTAGCCGGAATATGCGTGTTAGATTCACAAGCTACCAGTGAGCAATTAGCAGTAGACAAATGTTACATGAATTGCCGTTCTGACGTCACGGGTGTTCCGCAGGGTCCACTGGGCAATTCCGCGGTAGGATTTTGCTGTGATAGGCGGAAAGTGTGCCTTGGATGGCCACTGGTCGTCATCATAATATTGCCTTTGGTGTGCACGACTGACTGACAGGGGTTGCCTAGTTCGAAACACCCGGTTACAACCCTATCTGAAAAGTCCCGCCGTTTCGCCCGTATTCGAATGTCGTGTATTTTGAACACGATTGTGGCCAGCTCTTGCATGCCGCTGTCAAGCGGGAACACGCAAACTGTCTCTGGAGGCCGTCGAACGTCCTGCAGACGCTGGTATGGGCCGACACGTCCATTAACGAATCTAGTTGGTGGTTTTGGGAGTTAATTTGTTAATCGTGGTGGCCAACCTCTCAACTTGAGACAGTGATAATGAGTGGCGTTCCGATCCTGACCACCAAATCAGACGAACAAGGGGGCGTTGCCTTAGGAAGTTCATTGCGGACACTATTCGGAAGGTGTTGCCCACCTCTACGGGGTTCAGCGTAGACTCAATACACGATAGTTGCGGTTGATGTGGCAGGGTTCGACCTTTCCTCCTTTGGTTTCCGTCAGTATGGTTGCCTTAGGCAGATGAATCTAGGGCAAAGGGCTGTAGCAGCCGAGCTGCGTAATGGGCGAGGGGGTCAGCTGGCGGGAAAGTTTGATCGGCAGTCCGAGTACGCATTTATGTCGTGCCACTCACCATTCTCCATCATTCGCGCATCATCTGAAACGAAGCCGGATCGGAATTGGCTATTACGGTAGCAGTGTGAGACAGGCCCTGGCGTACCCAATTACTAACGGGGGCAATTTACTGAAGCGTAAATCCTTAAGTAAAGTGTTCAGGAAGACGACAACTGCGACGCAAGTACTGAGTTCCGACAGCAACCACCTGATCGGCCGCAAACGCGGTTGCATAAGGGCGCTAGATCGGCGTGTTTGGACTGCGGTGCGCCAGAATACAAGTTCGCCGAATTCAAATACCTTCAATGGCCGCTGAGGGCGAATGGTTGAGAAAAGTGAAGTGCTCACCAGATCAGGGGAATTGTGTTGCTGGTGTTTCGGAGAGTTTGGCCGGCTCTTCATTATCAAAGCGCTTAGCGCAAAAATCGACCAGAATTTTGAATAGACGGCCGAATTGGTTAGTCTTTAGCTAGTCGATTTTTTCTTCTTTCGCTCTCTCGGCCTTCTGGTGGTTGTTTGCGAATGTTGGTGGCCTCCCGTGTTTGTCTCCTTACCTCAATTGGTGTTAGTTACGTTGGTGTCCCCCGTTTGTGTGAATTAGTCGACGGGCCGTGTTTGTTCGGTATTCCTGGGCTCCGTGTGACCGTCTTGTCCTGAACACGGCGTGCGCAGTGAAGTAGGACTTTATAGGCTGCAGGAAGGTCTAGCTGCCTGTTGGTAGAGTTGGCATCTGAGTACCAAGCCTCAAGTGTACGACGCTCTGTCTTTGAGGTGCTCCGGCCTAAGACGGTTGCTCCTTGAAAGTCAAAACTGTGGCCAGTTTCTCCGGTGTGAGTCACAAGCTGTGAGTTTGGGTCTAGTCTCCGAGTTGCCTGTTTGTGCTCATATAGGCGGGTCTACAATTTCCGTCCGGTTTCCCCAACGAAGTTTCAATCTCCACCGTTACAACATATTTGCTAGACAACTGCTGAGGTTTCAGTGGGTGGCAGTATGTCTTTGGGTTGCATCAAACGGCGACGAATTTTTGCCTGGGGTCGATGGGCGATGCCTACCCTGGCGGGTTGTAACAAACGTGAAACTGCCGTTGATGTAAGGAATAGCCCTCCAGACTTCGTATTGTTCTTCTTCTGATCGTCTTCTCCTTACCCGGCGCTTGCTTTGCTTGATAAAGTTTCTTAATCATCCATTGGCCCGAAAGAGATCATGAAGTTATTGTCGTTCAACTCTTTTGTCGTCTGGTGTGCTGCAATGTGTTTCAACTTTTCGAAAAACAGTATGGACACAGCTGTGTTTGTGGAGAGGGGTGATTTCTGTCGAAGTGTAGTATTTGTCTTGTGTTGGTGGCTTTTCTGGAAACGGTAGTTTGCAACTGCCCAGTCGCACACCGACGCATAAAGCCATCGAGTAAGGGAAGTTGGCTGTTTGTTTCAGCTTTCATCGTGAATTGAATATTCGGGTCAACTGAGTTCAGGCATTCTTTAAGGTGCTCCACGTCAGATGATTTGACAATGGCGAAAGTGTTATCGACGTAACGAGCCCAGAACTTTGGTTAATACTTGGTGAACAACTGCAGTCTATCCGTCCCACTAAGTTAAAGTACAGAAGAGGGTGTGGAACTCACTCGTTCCGTTGTGCCTTACGGGCTCTCTCTCTCTCGAGCCCAAGCAGCAGCCGCACAGCGGCGCATGATATAGGCAGAATGGCATTACCGACAAAGACAAAGGAGACTAGAAGATAGTTAACACCAAGCCTCTTTCCTAGACGGGTTTTGCCGTCCTCCACTCTGAACCCTTGACTTAACAGCGGGCCCCTCCCTTCAGGTCTTTCGCGAACTTCAAACGGTTCTCTCGGCAGATCGATGCACTGTCTCCGGATTTTCATGGGTATTTTTGGTGTCCGAAGGTCTCCGACTGCTCGTCTATAGAAGTTACGTTCACCTTACCATCATACATCTTATTTGCCGTTACCAAATGTAGGCGAGCTTCACATGCGCGCAGTATATCTAAATCAACCATTCTTTAGTCACAGTTGCAGACTGTGGCCGGTAACGAGCGCCTTCTGTGGGAGAAACTGTTGTAGACTGCGCCATCAACGTGAAATATTCGGTACTATATACCGGAATTAGATGCTGCCTCTACGATCACTTTTCTGTTGACAGACTGCTGTTGAATTGTTCGGGGCTGGCAGAATGTTGATTGGCGGTTGCTGTTGGGCGCAAAATGGTCCCCAAGTGTTATTGGTCCCCGGCAAGTTCAACCTAAGAACAGCAGTCGCTGCTGAGATTTCTATGAAACTGTGAAATTCCCCTTGATTCGACATAAGTAAATCCTCGATAAACCGAGCGGTCAACCGCGTTTTGAAGTGAATTCTTTCCTCAGACGGTAATCTCGGATAGCTGTCACTCTATATCGATCTGATATGCCCGTCCGTTGTGAAGGACAGCGTCTACTGCTTTCAGGGCATCAGCCAGAGAATCTCGTGATCTTATGCTCATAGCTAACGATTATTGCTAAGCCGCCGGCGCACCCGAAGCATTTATGACCTCGGCAATTCATCGCGCAAGATATCTCCCATACTCAGAGAGAGGGAGAGAGAGAGATATTAAGGGAGGGGGGGAAAAATTCTGTGGAAAATGCTGGCGGCATTCGGAGGTTTTTTTCTGGCGACGATTCCTCAGGTGCAGCAGTGGCTGTTTCTGGCCTACTGCGAACCATCAACCAGAGATGCCCCATCCGCGGGTCTAGGTCCAACCGAATCCAGTGGGTTCAGGTTAAACGTCCACTCCACTATTGGGTTTGCTGTATCTCAGCGGAGATTTTGATTGCTTCGCATAAATTATCATAGTAAGGGGTGAAATCGCTTGTCCTGCAGCTTCTGGTGGTTTCTTGACACTTCACGCAGCATTTTGCCCTTGGGGGATATTTACAGCACACGTGGGAAACCGGCCGACGGCCACAAACGCGAATGCACGAGCATAAGTTGACCGTGCGAAGGCTAAACCCAAAATCGAAAGTAGCAACCCATGCCGCGCAAATGTGACCCATCTTCAACTTTGAGGCCGTTCAGATTGTGGGCCGGGACGATGATCATACGGCAAGGCAGGTTCAAGAAGCCTGGATGTCCACCGACTGCTCAGGCAACCGCCACATCAATTTGCCTCTCCCTATCTGCACATTTACCTGACTTTATAAATTTATTTCAGACTCCGCGGAAGACTGACGGTTGTTACGCCTTGCTGGTGACCAACTCTGCCCGTATTTACGTTCACGTACAGTGTTTTTTTGACGCATTTACGGTTTTGTATTCTCAAGAAATGTTCTTTGTTGTTTTATTTTTTACCAAGACAATCTGGTTGAAGACGATTAAAGCCACTTACTTCTACCTTTTTTTTCTTTCTGCTGTTGTTGCAGCTGGGTTACAAGTTAAACAAGTGCTAAAGCACTGTGCATGTGGGAGATGAGCGAAACCTTGAGATGTTCTACTATCATTTTCCGAGTGAATTTCGCCGACTTCGTCTCAAGTTGGACAGTCCGCGCTCGCCTCGATAACATCCTTAGAATATTAGATTTTGGTAAGGATCGGGTGAAGGCCCTCAAACATCTGTGGAATTCAAAGCATACCTACTCTACTTATTTAAGTGGGTTTTAGGCAGAAAAATTTATTTCGGTTTTGGTGTTTCACCGTACAAGGTTGGGTCGTCTGTCGCAGACGGTCTGGTGCATTATCTACAATGAACTCAACTCGGAGAGTTGAAAAGCGATCGTTGTATATACTTGATGTTTGTTTTTTCAATTGTCCTGCTGAATTTCGGTTGCATCAAAACTTTTTCACCCGAAAAACGAGTTAACCAACTATCTATACGTATTTTGTCAATCCTCTATGTATATATAGGCCCCGCCAGTAAAACCCGTATCACCACCTTTCTCGTAAGACAGGCGCCCTTGGCTGGTCATGTGTCTGGGGTCCTTCACCCAATCGTTGCCCTGATTTTCATCTAGGAAAGACGATTGACGTGATTTGGATATGTTCTTTGTCACCCATCTGATGAGGTCATCATTGTTGTCCTCGATCCTGTGCTGTTGGCCAGCTGGAGACCCTGAGGAGGAGGTCAACTTGAGGCCTGGATCAAAAGAGTTCGTCGAGACACGGCAGTGGCCTTTGGACCTCCTGTGTGCGGTCTCCGTCTCTGGATGAGAGGATGGGTACTTACTTGTACTTGATACGGCTGCGATCGTGCCTGATCTAGCCGGTCTCGATGATGCCACGAACTGCATCTCTCCACGCGTGACGATCCGCGGCAGCAGCTCTGGACAGCTCAACCCATTGCCTTCGCCAACGACGGAGACCGAATACCGAAGGTCCAAGAACCACCTTCATGTCTTAACGAACTGTGTCGAGCCAGGTTTTGCACTGACCCCCTCTTCGACGCTTCCCATGGGGTAACGGTGCCGGATCGACGGCAGTAACACTGAGCTCCTGAGGTGGACGACGAAGAACATGCCCGAACCACCTCCGTCGTCATTCTTGGATGGCCTGAGTTATCCTTGCAATGTCGCAGCGAGCGCGAACTGTCTCATTTGAGGCGAAGTCGGTGACCTTCACTTGAAGGATGGTCCTCAAGCAGTGGTGGTCAAATACCTCCCATTTTCGCTCGTCCTCCACGCGCAAAGCCCAGCATTCACAATTGTAGAGAAGGACATTCCGGACAGCTGCACGGTACACGCGGATCTTAGTGGCGATGGAGAGGTCATGTCGGATCCATAGGCATTTTCGAAGGCTTGAGAAAACCCAGCGGGCAGCATCGATTCGGGAGTTAATGTCGTCCGTACTCTGTCTATTGGGCAGCAGCCTCGCCCCGAGGTATCTAAACTGTCTACTTCTTCAAGTTAACAGCCATCAATCCCGAGGGGTGCCTCCTCCTGGTCAGGGATGCAGTTTGAAAACGTTTTTGTCTTCCCGGCGTTTATGGATAAACCGACTGATTTAGCGGATGGGTCGAGTTTTCCAGATCCGCCGCGGCAGATTGTCTCGCATGGAGAGCTGCAATTTGCGACACCGATGCCGGTTAGGTCGTGTATGATCACAATCAAGAATGTATGTCGGTCTTTAAGTGAGGCCGCAGCAAAATGGGACGATATTCACTCGATACAGCGGATTCGGGTGAGAGATGTTTGCGGACGATACGGGTTAGTTAGGGGGGGGGGTGTTTGGGGTGCGGCTGAGTGGCCGTTGGGGGCGTGTGAGGGTGAACTATATCAGTCGTTTGTTCGTGGGTTATTCTCAATCACTTGGAGGCATTTGTTTGCGGTCCCTGATTGGTGAGGACTGCAGGATCATACTGGCTTATACCAACTGTGTGGAGGAGTGTGCTCAAAGCTAAGACCAAAGTACATCTGCTGCAGCAAAGGCCACCGCGTAATATTCGCAAGCTGTCAACAGGCGGTAGTATACAATTTTTTTCATGGTTCATTCGACTAACAGCACAGTTATTATATAAGAGTCCAAGCATGTGGTTCGCTGATCCTCCGCCGCTGCCGTTTAGCTCATCACCGGGTCCCGCCAGCGTTTTTCATATGCAGCTTTTTGGTATATGCTCTATTTCTAAAAATCCCGGAAGGACTAAGTTATATGGCCCCCTAAACAGTACATGAGAACAGAAGCCGCCTACAATACGGGTGGCTTGGAAGCGACTTTCAGTGTAATTAGGGGTAGGTTAAGGGCTAGGTTTAATACTTGACTTAGGGTTAGGGTAAGATTAGTGCTACGGTTTAGCCTCTTTATATTAGGGTTATTGTTGAGATCAAGACGCAGGAGTATTCTGCCCTTTTGGCATTATGCCAGATCCAACTTTATCACCTGGGCGGGACACACCTATTTTCATGTCCTGTTTGGGGGCCACATGAGTCAGCCCCACCGAAATTTCGTCAAATCTCACCGGAGATTGGGGTGCCAACATGAAGTTCATCTTTCGGGAGAAGGCTTTCAAAACTCAGTCCAAAGGTTGTGATGAATGCTGAGCCGACGTCTAGCAACCTAACCGGGATATGCGCGTGAGATTCACAAGCTACCAGTGGGCAATTAGCAGTAGACAAATGTTACATGAATTACCATTCTGACGTCACGGGTGTTCCGCAGGGTTAAAGTCCACTGGGCAATTCTGCGGTAGGATTTAGCTGTGATAGGCGGAAAGTGTGCCTTGGATGGCCACTGCCCGTCATCATAATATTGCCTTTGGTGTGTACGACTGACTGACAGGGGTCGCCTAGTTCGAAACACCCGGTTACAACCCTATCTGAGAAGTCCCGCCCTTTCGCCCGTGTTCGAATGTCGTGTATTTTGAACACGATTGTGGCCAGCCCTTGCATGCCGATGTCAAGCGAGAACACGCAAATTGTCTCTCGAGGCCGTCAAACGCCCTGCAGACGCTGGCATGGGTCGACAAGTCCATTAACGAATTTAGTTGATAGTTTTGGGAGTGGCTTTTATTAATCGTGGTGGCCAACCTCTCAGCTTGAGGCAGTGATAATGAATGGCGTTCCCATCCTGACCACCAAATCAGACGAACAAGGGGGCGTTGCCTTGGGAAGTTCATTGCAGACAATATCCGGATGGTGTTGTCCACCTCTACGACTGCCAGGATTCAGCGTAGACCAAATACACAATTGTTGCGGTTGATGTGGCAGGGTTCGACCTTTCCTCCTTTGGTTTCCGTCAGTATGGTTGCCTAAGGCAGATGAATCTAGGGCAAAGGGCTGTAGCAGCCGAGCGGCGTAATGGGCGAGGGGGTCAGCTGGCCGGAAAGTCTGATCGGCCGTCCGAGTACGCATTTATTTCGTGTCACTCACAATTCCCCATCATTCGCGCATCATCTGAAACGAAGCCGGATCGAAATTGGCAGCAGTGCGTCACTGCCTATGAGGCAGGTCCTGGCGAATCCAATTACTAACAGGAGCAATTTCATGAAGTGTAAATCCTTAAGTAAAGTTTTCAGGAAGACAACAACTGCGACGCAAGTACTGAGTTCCAACAGCAACCACCTGATCGGCCGCAAACGCGGTTGCATAAGGGCGCTAGACCGGCCTGTTAGGACTGCAGTGAATCAGAATACAGTTCGTCGAATTAAAATACCTTCGATGGCCGCTCAGGGGGAAAGGTTATTTGAGAAAAATGAAATGCTCATCGGATCAAGGGAATTGTATTGCTGGCGTTTCGGAGAGCTTGGCCTGCTCTCCACTATCAAAGCGTTTAGTGCAAAAATCGACCAGAATTTTGAATAAACGGCCGAATTAGTTGGACTTGGGCTGATTAGTTTCTTTATTTCGCTGCCTTGGCCTTCTGGTCGTTGTTTGTGAATGTTGGTGGCCTCCTTTGTTGTGTCGTTACCTCAATTGGTGTTAGTTACGTTGGTGTCCCCGTTTGTGTGAATTAGTCGACGGGCCGTGTTTGTTCGGTATTCTTGGGCTCCGTGTGACCGTCTTGTCCTGGACATGGCGTGTGCAGTGACGCAGGACTTTAGTGGCCGCAGGAAGGTCTAGATGCCTGGTGATAGAGTTAGCATCTGAATACGAAGTTTCAAATGTGAGACGTTCTGTCCTTGAGGTGCCCCTGCCTACGACGTTTGCTCCTTGAAAGTCAAAACTGTGGCCAGTTTCTCTGGTGTGAGTCACAAGCTGTGAACTTGGATCTAGTCTCCGAGTTGCCAGTTTGTGCTCATGTAGGCGAGTCTGCAATTTCCGTCCGGTTTCTCCGACGAAGTTGCGATCTCCACCGTTGCAACGTATTTGATAGACAACTGCTGAGGTTTCAGTTGGTGGCAGTATGTCTTTGGGTTGCTTCAAACTGTGACGAATTGTTGCCTGGGGTCGATGGGCTATGCCTACCCTGGCGGGTTGTTACAAACGCGAAACTGCCTTTGACGTAAGGACTAGCCCGTCAGACTTCGGATTGTTATTCCTGTGGTCGTCACCTCTTTACCCGATACTTGATTTCCTTGATAAAGTTGCTTAGGTATCCATTGGCCCGAACGAGGTCATGAGGGTATTGTCGTTCAACTCTTTTGTCGTCTGGTGTGCTGTAGTGTTTCAACTTTTTGGAAAACAGTATGGACACAGCGGCGTTTGTGGAGAGGGGATGATTGCTGTCGAAGTGTAGTATTTGTCTTGTGTTGGTGGCTTTTCTGGAAACGGTAGTTTGCAACTGCCCAGTCGCACACCGACGCACAAAGACATCGAGGAAGGGAAGTTGGTTGTTTGTTTCAGCTTTCATCGTAAATTGGATATTCGGGTCAACTGATTTCAGTCGTTCTTTAAGGTGCTCCACGTCAGATGATTTGACAATGGTGAAAGTGTCATCGACGTAAAGAGCCCAGACCTTTGCTTAATACTTGGTGAACACCAAGTGTTCTATCCGTTGAAGTACCACTTCAACAATCGGCCTCAATATGGGGGAGCCCATGGACGTGTCTTTACATTGTTCATACATTTGTATACCAAAGGTGAACTATGTTTTTAGGCAATACCGTAAGAGCTCGATCGGATCTTCGGTCTTCAGGGGTTGTCGCTCTCGTCGTAGCGGTCAGCCAGGAGTTGTCTCACAACGTCAATCGCTAATTATTGCGGAATGCATGTGAAGCGTAAAACGACATCAAAAGATACCATGGATTCATCTAGCTCTAGTTTAAGATGTTTTAAACGTTCAAGGAACTGATTAGCAGAAGCCATTGTGGTTGGCGAACCTTTTGCCAGGAACTTAAGACGAGCAAACATCCATTTTGCCAAACCGTATGTGGGAGTGCCACGTAAGGAAACGATGGGACTAAACGGCGTGTTCACTTTGTGTACCTTCGGCAGACCGTAAAACCGGGCCGTGGCGGAGTCAGAGGATTTCATAAGAAACCAATATTTGGCTGTGATTGCCCCATTTGCTCTGAGTTTTGCCAAACTTTTGTTTATTTGGTTAAGCAGATGTTTCATCTCACTGGCTGGACAAAGTTTATTGTACTGTGGATCGTCGGGTAGGCCCAAAGCCTTTTTCTGGTAATCAGGTTTGTCAAGCACTACCGTGAAACAATCTTTTTTCAGCCGGCAGGATGATAATGTCTTTATCCGCTCTTAGGCTGTTTAACACTTGCTGTTTTTCTTCTCTGAGAGTTTCGCTCTTCTTGTGTTGCATTAAAAAGCGGAGGTTTTGTGGCGAGTCAACTCTTTCGCCTCTTCTGACATTTGTGTTAGTTGAAGAGCAGATTCAAAAACGGCAATGAACTCTGGAGGTTTGGCCGCTGCTGTGTTGAAAGTGGCTCCACGTCTCAGGACTGCAAGTTGTGTGCTGGTGAGGGATTTAGAAGAATGATTGCGTACAAAGTCGCCCGTCGAGTTATCTGAGCGAGCTGGTCTAAGTTTGGCCAATTTTACTGATAATTCTTTGTCCTTTTTGGCACGTACCTTTCGAGCATGATCGAGAATGGTTTCCTCAATATCTCTCGAGCTTTCACCAGTGGTTGTCGCGAAATATGACTTGGATTGAGCAATTCCTAGGCTATGACGTTGCAGTCTTTGATGGTAATCATAAGCAGTAGGTGGGCTAACTCATGAAATGTCAACCGAAATTTCGAAATGCGTTTACGTTTCGAAAAGATTAATTAAGTAGGGTTGTAAAACTAATCATTATGCAGCATACATTTACAGTGGTCCAGTTACCTCAGGGTGTCGGCTTTCGAATGAACTTATTTCCGACTGCATGCTAGAACTATACTCAGCAAAAAATGACTACATAAATAGCATGCAATTTTCTCATTGATTTTCAATGCCCTTGAAAATTCAACGATATTTCTTAGAAAAAATTCATGCAAATATTCATTCTCTTACTTATTTGGTAGAAAGTCACATCTGCTTCCAATTGTATACTTGAAAGGAGGGTAGAATTTGGTTTCCAAAAAGTGTATAATTGTGAGGTTTTTTAATACCGTGAAATGGCCGTTCTTAAAACGTCATTTATCTACATTTACGAATGCTGCTTGTAATTTTAACAAAATTGCTGAAATCCACTGCTTAATTTTATGAAACCTACATGTTCTTCACTTAATACCGTAGAGAAATGTGTGGTTTTCCGTACGCGGAAAATATACATCTTGTGGTTTTGAAGCCCTGAATGGAAGTCCAACAGCAAGTCGGGTTTAAAATTATTCGGGAATTATAAAAGTTTTTTTAAACCCGAAGTATACTCTTCTTTCGAGTATAAAATCGAAAGAAGACGTAATTTTCTACCGAATAAGCAAGAGAATGAATATTTCTATAAATGTTTTCCACGAAATATGGTTGAATTTTCAAGGGCGTCGAAAATCAGTGAGAAAATGCATGCTACATAAGTAATCATTTTTGCAGAGTATAGTTCTTGCATGCAGTCGGAAATAAGTTCATTCGAAAGCCGACATCCTGAGGTAACTGGATCACTATAAATTTATGCTGCATGATGATAAGTTTTACAACCCTACTTAATTAATCTTTTCGAAACGAGAACGCATTTCGAAATCTCGGTTGACGTTTCATGAGTTAGCCCACCTACTGTATAAGTACTCTGGTCACTCTCCCGCCGTGTCGCGCCAAAGTCTCCATTGCCAAGGTCGAATTTACAAGCGACTTCTAGGTGACACATTTTGGAGTCAATCATTGGTCAAGGCAGCGATGAAGGAAGTGCAGTTGTGCTTGTGTTGACGCAGTCCGTAGGGCGAATTTGTCCCAACAGCGTGCCGCATGGAGCACTGACGACTCGAAAATCGAGCACAAGCTAGCAAATGTAAGATATCCGGGTTAATAATCTGAGAAAAATGAAGTGCTCACTGGATCGAGGAGATTCTATTGCTGACGTTTCGAAGAGCTTGGCCGGCTGTCCATTATCAAAGAAGTTACTGCAAAAATCTACCCGGATCTCTTACGTTTGCTAACCTGAATGGTTATTTGTGTAACTTTGTCATCATTTGCATGTACAAACAAGAAAAGAGTTCAGACCGCCCTAACCGCATATTACAGCGAGCATCCCCATATGTCAAGAACGTCTCGCATGACGTCAATCGCTTTTGCTCATTGCTTTGACTTGAGGCTCAGTCTAGACCGGAGTTAACTGTTAGGTATCAAGAAATGAGATTGGGAGGTCCTTCGCTATGCCAGGAAACGTTTCGGGTCGTTTGATGGATCTGATGCAGTTAGTGACAAAACTGCATCGAGGAAACCGAGAGATTACTCCGGACAAGGATGGTCGGACATGCGGCAGTGGAAAGAATTTGCATCAACTTTCATATCGCGACTCATCGGACGGAACCGGTAACAACGAAGCCGAAATTCTCGCGAGGAATGACAACCACGTGAGCTGTGATTTGCTTGGGTCGTGGTTCTCCGGTCAGTAGTCTATTAGCAATGTCATTGAGCTTCCCCCTCCGTATTTAACGCCATAGCCTTGTCTGGACAGAATATTTGGCTAAACTGGGAGGGCGGTGGAGAACACCGTTTCAAGTGATAGTATCTGCAATTAACTTGGGAGACAACAACCACGCCACCAATCAATACTCGTGACGATAGTGCAGCAGATTTTGACTCGGATACAAGCGAGCAACCAATCATCACACCAATTACGGCCATCCTCGGTTAATGCTGCAGCTGCAGATGACTGGCAACTGCATCTTAAGTATGCTGAGAACGTCTCTTCTTAAGTGCTTCTCGTGAGCTGTTTTGGCGCGACGCGGTCCAATCTGACCGCGGCTGTGAACTACAGTGCGTGACCGATCTGATTAAATGTTGACCAAAATTCTGGAATGCGTTTCGGATTAGGAAGGATTACTTAAGTGGGATTATTATACTGATCACCATGCAGCATAACCCTACAACATTTCGGACTTGCCAGGATGTCGGTTTTTGAATGCACTTCTTTTTGACCTCCTGCAGAAACCACCCTCGGCGAAAAATGACTACTTAAGAAGCATGCAGTTCTCCCATTGATTTTCGATGGTCGTATAAATTCAAATATGTTTTACAGAAAACATGCACAAAAATACGCTTTCTTCTGCTCATTTGGTAGGAAATCACACTGTCTTCATATTTTATGCCCGAATAAAGTGTATATTTAGCTTTTGAAAAAGTTTCTAATTATGCGATTTTTCAGACCATGCGATGTCCATGCATGCAAGACCGCACATGTCTGTTTACTAATGCTCCTCATGAAATGTACAACACAGTCCGGATCCATTGCAAAATTTCATGAACTCTATGTGATATCTTCTTAAAGGCATAGAGGAATATATGATTTTCCTTACGCGGAAAGCATGCACCTTGTAGACTGAAATCGCTAAACGCTGATGTATGGGCAGAATGGGCTCAAAATTATTCGGGAATTGGGAAACTTTTTAAAAACCTAAATGCACTCTTTCTTCGGGCATAAAATATGAAGACAGTGTGATTTCCTACCAAATGAACAGAAGAAAGCGTATTTTTGTGCATGTTTTCTGTAAAACATATTTGAATTTATACGACCATCGAAAATCAATAGGAAAACTGCATGCTGCTTAAGTAGTCTTTCTTACCGAGGGTAGTTTCTGCAGGAGGTCAAAAAGAAATTCATTCAAAAGCCGACATCCTGGCGAGTCCGAAATGTTATAGGGTTATGCTGCATGATAATCAGTATAACAACCCCACTTAAGTAATCCTTCCTAATTGGAAACACATTCCAGAATTTTGACCAACATTTCATTAGATCGGTCACGCACTGTAGTTGCCCTTCGGAATACGAACTGTTGACACTTGGAAGAGTGCAGATTATATGGCTGAAAATTAATGAAGTTATGGATTTACTCTCGAGTACATAGTCGTAGATATCTTGCATGTTGGTATACGGAATTCATATTGTGTAGTCGCAAAGGCGCCATGCCTGCTAAGAATTCGCATTCGTTTCAGATGCGCCTGCGTAGTGTGACTGTGGCCTGGTCTACAGCATCACAGTCGTCGATAGTCGCAATTTGAACGCTGGTGTTTTCGACTGACTTGATGGCAGCTCCCGCGCTCATCGTACTTTGTTCGATAATGACTTGGTGGGCCAGCCTCGGAGTAATTAATGCCCGCGATTTCGGCCCCGACATTTGGTGAGTGGAGTGATAATTACTCGACCACTTGACCCACCGGAAGCAGCGTTCAGTCGCGTGCTTTCCGACTGAATAATTACTTCGTCTATTCGAAATTCGAACGTTGATATGAGCGATGAAGAACGTTATGTTTGCTGATGGACTGAAAGTTGGAGAAACATAACTCAAGCACCTGATGAGGACATCGGCCTCGACGAACTAAAAGGCTTGGTCGGTCCCGTCGACTGACTGACCTGAGAGCTGGCGTTATTCCCCTTCACTGCCACCGCCTGCTCGACATCTGAAATAATTTTGTTGTTTCTCGAACAGCAACCGTTCCCGAACCTATAAACCGGACGCAAGAGTTCAGCGTAAGGCCCCGGGAAAACCAGTGAATCCAACGGTTGCAAGACCACGTCACCTATTAGTTTAGTAGTCGATAAATCCAATGACGTGCCATTCACCTGCTTCGAGCAGGTGTAAAGAAGGTTTGGGGTTAGAGGACCCCAGCCATATCCTGGGCGATTCATGGTGCTTGCTCTCTAGGAGTAATTCGACGGTCTCTACTGCCAGATTCTTGAGAGTAGCAGTAAACAGACTCGAGACATAAAAAGCATCATGCTCTAGCTTGACAGGAGATTTATCCGCGGGGAAGGAGGCACTATTGCTGAAACAAGTGGTTTGTTAGCCTGACGTTTCGGATCCTCACTCAAATCCATCACCAGAGACAGAGTGAGATAAGGGTAGTGCGTTGCCCGTGCAGCTTCGTCAACCAGCGCCTGCGTAAACGAGGCGAGAGACAAAATCCGACCGACCCCAAATTTTATCGACCTGTCCCATGCGTAAAAAATGGCTCGGACGCCGTCAGCCGCCACCTTACGCTCCTTGGAATTAGAGTTGCACACACACCGGAAGCAACCATAAGGCGCAAGATCATGAGACCGGAAGACCCACTGCCACGGCAGGAAACATCTGGAGTCGTTCACCGGGTCTGGTGTAGTTTTGGGAAAAGCAACTGTCGAGAAACCGGAAACCTACTTCGGACACAGTTGGCCAGGTACGTCGGCAGCATTGGGGAGGAACGACGCCAGCTCCCAAGTCGCGGCGCATTCGACGGGGCCCAACCACACATTCAAGTTTGACGAAACAGAAATTGAGGAAGTTCAAGTCGGCGAACGTAGGTTTTCGATTATTCTTCATTAGGCCAGTACATTTATATAGGTTTAGGTAGAGCAGCGTAATTTGAGAAGTAAAACAACTTATGACCAGCAGTCATGACGTGGGGGTAAATGTGTTCACAATTGTGGGGCAGCGGGATAATTATAGTCTTATTTCTGTCAGTGGTACGGGAAGGGTGAAGGGGGGGATGGGAAAGGATAGGGTAGTCTAACTGAGTTGTTTCGTCGCTCTGGCGCGACGTGCCATGGTGCAGGTCTGAATTTTCATGACACGCACATACCCTGTCGTTAGAATAAGACTAGTTTTCTCTAGCACCCCGCCTCTTCACCTTGAAGCCAAGGATAAGCTGTCGTTTCAGACTTTCTCAACGGGCATCTACGCATTAACTTGCTCCTGTGGAGCAGGTTACGTTGGTTCCGTTAATATTCACTGTCAAGTATTTCCGGTGTTCGCAATTTAGTACTTGCGAATCGTCTTCTAAAACGACCTGGCAAGAATTCGAGCACGAACAACTCGGTTACTGCGCTACCTGGAGGCAGCCTACGTACGGGGAGAGAAACCTGACCTATGTAAACAGTTGGACCACGTGGTCAACCTCAGCTTGCCCTGGTAGATCTGAGTCCTTTTGATTTACGAAGTCCCTCGGCGTGTTAACTTCCCCATTTTCTTTCCTATGTTGCGTTTTGAAGTTACCATTTTATTGATTAGTCTACGTCCAGTATACCATGACCTTGCTGTTTTACATTGACATTCTCTGTGGAAATTCAAGCCTCTGTATCTTTCTGTATCTTGTGTTATGCAACGACAGGCTGCAGTTGATAAGCCGTTGCGAAATCTACTGGTACTAATAAATTCTGCTATCTATGCCTGCTTTAAATTCAATCTGGGGAAATATTGCTTCAGAATTCTTTCTTGGACTAGAGTGTGCTGCTCTACAGCGCGAAGCTTTATAGCCAATACGGAAACATTTGTAGTACTTTCTACTACCTTACAGGGTTGAACTAGTAACCTGAACAGTGCGGTTCGAACCTCAAATCGCCCGCAGTAGCGGTTGGGTACTGCTGGCCGACGACAACTACTGAGCCAAGGGGTTGATAGAAACGAGAATGCGGGCTCAAGGAAGCAGTCGTGAATGAGGCGACGCGATCGTTGAAACGATCGAATTCATAATTGGAGGCAGGTGGGGTAGTGAGCGGCACTGCTGTTGCGGCATTTATAGGATACAATTGCCGTGCCACTGAATGCCTATTAAAATTGGCAGGCGTTTTATTCATTGCAGATAATTCCACGTGTTGCGATATTTGTCTGACTGGTCAGGTGTTGCTGTATGAGGTTGCTAGGTCTCTGCATATCTGTTAAAAGTAGCGGCTCCCACCTTCATCGTAGGTGGCCGCACAATTTCTGAAGAAACTGAAAGGGGCGAACCTCCTTCCATGGTCATGGTATCTTTTGATATCATGTCCCTCTTTACTTATTTTCCCCAGGAGCTGGCGCTCGAGACCATTAAGCTGCTTCTACAAAGCAAATTCGACGAAACGGAGAATCGCCCAAGTCCTTCAGCTCCTAAGGTTCTGTCTCAGCACGTACTTTACGTTTGACGAAACAAGCTACGAGCAGATGAAAGGCATGCCAATGGGTTTGTCGATTCCAGGGCTCGTAGCCGAGGCGGTCGTACAACGGTTGGATTCGCTGGTTTTCCGACACCACAGACCGAAATTCTTGGTTCGATACGTGGAGGATATCTTTGTCGTCATCGATCGGGATGAGGTGTTGGAATCCAAAGAACACCTCAACGCCGTCCTTCCCGACATACAATTCAAGATGGAGGAAGAGGAAAAGAACCAGCTGGCCTTTCTGTATGCCCTCATCTGTCGCAAAGATTTTGGTGGCTTATAAGCCAAAGTCTTCAGAAAAGCGACAAATACGACGCAGGTACGGAACTTCAACGGCAACCACCCAATAAGTCACAAACGTAGTTGCGTAAGAACGCTATACCAGCGTGTGGAGACACACTGCAATAAACGGGAAGACAAGGTTGCTGGGGTGCTTAGATCGAAGGGCTGTCCGCCCAATTTTGTCAGTCAGTGCTTGCGCAAACGGGGTGAAAGGCCAAATTGTGCGGACCCCAAATTTTGGCGAGCTCCTCCGTACGTGAATAATGTTTTAAAGGCCGTCAGCCATCTTTTTACACCTCTTGGAATTGGAGTCGGAATTGGAAGCAGCAATAAGGTACCAGATCATAAAGCCGAAGGACCAACAGCCACGGAAAGAAGCATCTGGAGTCATTTACCGGGCCTGGTGCAGTTTTGGGCAAAACAAGTATGTCAGAAAACCGGAAGACTCTTCCGGATACTGATGGCCGAGCACCCAGCAGCAATGTGGAGGAACGACGCCAGCTCCCAAGTTACAGCTCATTCGACGGGACCTATCCAACATTCAAGTTTGATGAAGCCAAAATTCCGACTGGAGTCGACAACCGCGTGGACCGCGATGCCCGAGTCATGGTTTTCCGGTCCTCAGTCAATCGATAGTTCGACCGTCGGTTTCGACGATGTCCACCGTGTGCTCCACAGCAGGGTGAGAGCAGGGACGGTGACTTAATGCGAAAATTTAGTTTATAGTGATAGTAGTCAGTCCTTTATCTTGTTAAGAGAGCTTTCTCTACCTTTGATGAGGACTGCTTCGTTAAAGTCTTTCGGACTTTCGTACGGCCACAGCTAGAGTTCGCTATTCAGGCGTGGAAACCCTGGACCTCTAAAGATCTCAGCATCCTTGAGAAAGTTCAGAGGCGGGCAACCAAACTCGTAAGTGGACAGGGTTCACTACCCTATGAAACCCGATTGTCCAATCTCGGCCTCTTTCCACTGAGTTACAGACAGCTAAGAGGCGACCTTATACAAACATTCCGTATACTGCGCGGCCAGGACTGCTGTCTCGTACCTACTGATTTCTTTGAGTTAGCGACCACAAGGAACCTCCGAGGTCATCCACTTAAACTACGCGTAAATGCCGCCAAGCTGGACACTCGGAAGTTCTTCTTTTCAAACAGAGTGATCGAGGCCTGGAATGCTCTGCCTGCAGGTGTCGTCATGTCCACCTCCGTCGAGGCTTTTAAGCGTAACTTGGACCAGATTGCCACCAATCGTCATAATGCCACCTGACAGATAGTCTATCATTTCGTTAGAACAGTTTATTATTGTTGTTATATTACTTTATGTATTTCAGTAACGTTTGTTTTTTAATATTGTCCCATGTCTGTTTAATGTGTGTTGGCATTCAATTCATCTCCCTCCGAAACTGAGATAGCACCAACTATCTCTAGACAGACTACTGTACAGCACGTTAATGTTTTTAACTCTTGGAACAATTCGTTTATCTGTCTGGCTTACAAAACGTTGCCAAGCTGAAGAAACTCTGTAGCCGTTTGATGTTTCCATTTTCAAATTTTTTTATTGTTCGCCTCCTTGTAACAAATAGGGAGTTCAAAGGTTTAACACCTATATTTCCCTCAAATAAACTGAACTGAACTGAACTGAATAGACTTGCACTGCCTCTACCGCATTCTCTCCTCCTCCCCCACCTGGACCCGGTGCCAAGACAGAGTCAAGAAGCCCGGAGGCGGGAGGAGGGCGCGGGTGGATGTCGTGGTCGAGCCGGCACCTTGGCGTTCCACTCCACACCCTCTGGTGCACACAGCAAATAATCAAATCAAAAACTTCAGTCAATCAGCAAGCGCGAGGATCTTCCAGTCATCACACCAACACCCCGTGATGAAATCACAACGATCAACGACTCGAATGTCGGCTATTGAGCCGTCATCACACAAAATGCGACAGTCCCTGATGAAGGGAGGAGCTGTGCCATTTCATAGGTATGCGGTATTATAGCGACTACATCATATAAATACTGCAGCCCCTTGTGCATGAACTATCCCCATCTCCTATTTTCTCTGATAATGATTTCGAGCAGACATCCGAAACGACAGCGGATAAACCTCTTAATCCGGCGATCATGTCTCCTTCTTAATGACTGCTTCCTCGGACTCGTCCCTTCGTTTCTATCTAGGTGTCCGCTGTTCTTGAGCCATTTGGCTCGTCGATACGGGCAGAAGAAACACTGATCTAACGCGCGCTGTCCGCGTGGCTCAATATGTTGACTTGGAAAAGCCTTAACACAGAAGATGGAGCGGGGAGGACTTTGCGCCTGTTATCACTGTGGGATGAAGGACCATGACTCAAACAGCTTGCGAATTACGCGCTCGTCACTTCCTGCGACAATTTCGGACCGTCAAGCTTGAACGCCTGTCCGCGTCCCCTAGAGTGAGCATTCAATGGTTGCCTTCCTCCTCTTCCATAGGAAGTTCTATGTTCGGGAAGGCGGAGTTATGGGGTTGTTGAAAGAAAGCACCCGATCCCATTCTTTGACGACGAACCAAGCCTAGAATTTAGGTCTGTGATTTTGGAAGACCAGCGACTCTAGGTGTTGCAGGGCCGCCTCGACTCACGAGATTGGTGAGCCAACAGGCGTGCCTTTCAGCGGCTCTTAGATTGCCCCGCTGAACGACAGGTACGTCTTCAGGCAAAACTTCGGGAGGTGGAGAATTCGATCAAGTTCAAGGCAATTCTCTTTTTGTCACATTTTCCTTGCAGAAGCGGTTTGATGATCTTGACCAACAGATACTGTGGTATGGAAGTGAAGAGGGATGTGACATCAAAAGACACATTGACGTTATTTGGGAAGCGACTTACCCCTTAAGTTTATGCAAGATCTGTTTTGTCGAGCTGACTGCAATACCTTGATTGGCTGTCACAGAAACAACCACTTTACCAGTCCGCCATTTGAACTCTCTGTGAGTGAAACGTTGGGTCGGAGAGAAGCGCTCTCTTTGTGCGTTTAGGAAAGGCAATGGGATCGGGTTAAGATCATTCCCTGAGCTCTCGCATGCGCTGGTCAACCGGCATTACTGCACCTGAGTTCCTCATTGCCAACAACTTTGTGCAGTAGGTGGGCTAACTCATGAAATGTCAACCGAAATTCCAAAATGCGCCAGCATTTTACCCTTCGTCTACTCCTTTGACGCGTGTGCGATAGCCTGTGGCCTGACATGGCGCTAGTAGGCCGGTCTTACCGCTGAGCGGGTTAGCATCTGATTGTCGGCCTCGAATTTTCCTTCTCGCCAGTCTGTTTTCGTCTCGACCGAGCATGTGGAAACTGTCAAGGTCAAACCGACGACTACTTTCCAGACAGTGCATAGCGACATGCGACCGGATATCTTTCCGCTTTATGGCTAAGGCATGCTCATGCATGCGCGTTCTCAGACGTTTGTTGGTCATGACGCAGTAGTTGTCCAGACAGTCTAGACATTTCACGCGGTAAATGACGCCTGACGTGTCCGCAGGTGGACTGCATGAGCAAGTGGCGGACAGTGGCCTCCGGCCGGTGTCCAAGGTATAAGTTGCGTGGTCTTAGCATGCACTCAGTGGCTTCAGAGACATCCGACACCTAGGGCGAGACATGAGAGATTTCAGTCTTTTGTTTTTGCTCACGGTTGGTCCTTATGCGTCTTGGGTACAAGAATTTGTTTAGGAAAATATGTGTATGTCCACTGGAGTGTCATACCCCTCTAAGAACTGTTGATGGTGATAACCTCATTGAAGATGGAGCGAAAGCTGGACATCTGCCAAAGTCCTTAGACCTCTTTTCACTAGGGAACCTTAATTTAACCTTCCGGTGAGTGTCTTCGAAAAGGCCAAAAGCAATTGCTCCAAAGGGGCTACTGCAACTAAAGGAATCAAAATCACCTGTTCCCGTTGAGATTTCAGCGAAGAATTTGAAGGAACTAACCGGGGAGTTGGCAAGACCACTATGCTTTTCCATGTATCCCCTGACACAGTTGTCTGCCAGCTAAGCCAGTCCTACACAGACAGACTGGATTGCCTTAATTTATTCCGTCAGTGTTACGGACAGCAAAGAGGTGGTCTTATTCTCGTCTACAAGATAATACATGGCTTTGATCATGGACTTAACTTTGAGGACGTGTTAGTGGCACCTTTAACTTGGTCTTCGTGGCCACTCAACTAAGCTACGGACAAAAATGTCTAGGCCGAATCTTCGTTCTTAATTTTTCACACAAAGGGTAGTGGGGAAATGGGATGAGTTCCTCAATCGGTCGTGGAGGTGACGTCCCTGCAACGCTTCAAGAAACGCTCGGATGATTATTTGTGTCCCCTATTTTCTCTCGACAGTCCGAACCCGAGTTCATTGTCACGCGACCCTGGGAATTCTTCTTCTTGAAACAACGCTACTCAAAGGAATAAAGTACTGTTTTAATAGCGACGGTCTTCATTGTTTGTGTACAGTTATATATATCGGGCTGACATGTAATCAATAGGGTTTTCAGAAGCCTTGCCTATTTGTCCGACCAAACTTATTGATGCAAACTGAAAAAGGAGCGTGATGAAGTGCCGTAGGAATGAATTTCGCAGTGTCGCACTCAATCACTCTTCGCTTTTAAATGGTTCAGACCGCCGTCCGATTCGGCCAAGCAACTCATGTGAGGATTAGGCGCAAGTGACTGACAGTCCGTCTGCTCCACGCGACCTGGCACCGCACACACGACGTCGGATTTTCCACACAGAAGGATACGCAGTTGAGATCTTGAATGCGTAAGATAGCATTAGAGGCTGCATTATGGAGGAGCAACTGGGCCTAAAGCTCAGCTTACCATTCCGTCGATCCATATAAAAGTAAACAAAACTGTCTGTCATGTCAGAGTCCTACCCTTAGTAGGCAACCTTCAAACAATCGACACTTGTCACTTTGTGAAAGGTTAGATGAGTCAGATTTACTATAATGACTTCGCTGAAGCCCCGCTGAAATGGAGTCCTCGTAGTCGG